AGACGGCCTTCACTATCGATGATAAGGTGATATAGATCTCGGACGGGTAGTGCCGGCGCCACGGCCATCAACTGCGTAACCTTTTTTCTCATCTCGGAGTCTTCTATGTCTACCAATTTCATGTCTTTCTCCTCACTATTCGTGGCTCCGGAGCGATCACCAGGCGATTCTATAAACGGAATACCTACCATCATCGGGGTTTTTGGGTGTGAAGTTTGGGGTTTTTTCTGAGATTGGAGTAAGTGGTATTGCCGGGGGCTAGCTGTATTGGATTTTATGCGCAAGAAAAACCCAGATTTTCTTGCGTCGCGCATATTGGTCGGCCGGACTGGCGAGTGAAGATCATGCGTAGGTGACATGTCGCGCAAGATGAGTTCGGGAGACGCACTAGCGTCACGTATCCTAGGGTTCAATTTGCCTGGTGTTACCGACTTGGCTGAATCGCCGTCAAGTATAATTGGTATTTCACGAGAGGCTCCCAAGCGTTGATCCGCGCCAGTCTTCAGGTTTCTGTTCGTGTTACGCATCGATCTCAGAGGATTCTTGGGAGCGAGCGAGAAAGAGACAGGTGGTTTAGGTATTGTCACTGAGTGATTGCGCTTTTCTTCGCGGCTTTTTCGGTCCTTTTTGATCTTCTTAGGTTTCAGGATTCGATCATGTTTGTTCGGAGCAGAGTCCGCGATAGATGGCGCTTTGAAATGTAACTTGCGGGCGCGTAAACGTTGCAAGGCTGATATTTCGCGTAAAGACAGAACATGGAAATGCAATGGTTCATGTTGTTTTCTTACACCATATTTCTCTGCGAACAAGGTTTGATATTTTTCATTGAGACCAAACGGCAAGAGGACGGGCAAACACACATCCATGGCGAATATACCGAGAGCGAGCCAAAATGGAATCCAGCCGAGCGAAGGACGATGTCGGTTAACGAGCGGGATGGCATTTCGCAAAGGGTACGATAACGCATAAAGTCGTCATGACTTAGGAAGTGTAATAGGAAGATTGAGGTAGCATCACGTGCGACAGTGTCAATTGGAAGCTGTTGGTGGGGTAGCTGGAGACGGCGTGGGGTAGCTTTTGGCGGGGCTGGTGTGGCGCAGGCCTATGTGTGGCGCGTGCAATGCTAAGGCGATGGTGCCACGCCTCAAGTGGCTGGGAAACTGCCAGCACTGTGCACTCTCTGGTATATTGAACATCTCCTTTTTGCTCTCAACTACTCGTTCAAAACCGATGGGTATGATCTCCTCCGGCATCATCTGATCGATCTGCAAGAAACGGTCAGTGGGCCAGCGGATTGGTCGCATTCTGACTGAGGGGTAATCGTTGAACGCCAACGCAAAAAGCAACCAGCAAAAGAAAGCATGCACAGTCATTCAGGGGCAGAGAAGGCTGGAGAAACTAGTGTTAGAGACTGTAATCGTCTAGGCCAGTCGGTCTGCAAGTGTTGCTCGCAGTGTGGGGCCGACAAGGACCAAGTGTAAAGACAACGGCATCTCCTTGTGCCTGGCCGCGCTACGCTTCGACACGAGGGCGAGCCACCCCAGCCATCTCCACTCAGCACGTCAACAGCACGGCGACAACATCATCACGACAACTCACAGCATCCACACCTACGTCTTGACCGCCCTGTCACACGCGCCAACTGTCTTGCCTTTATGAGCGCCGCCATCGCGCCGTATGGGGCAGGTTCCAAGAGTCTACCACCGTGATTTCGCCATTCCAGGTTCCCGTCGATCGCGAATGGCTACTGGTAGCATTGGCCATGTGCCCGCCCCGACATTTGCTGAGTACGTAGACGATCCCTTCCTCGACCATCGGCGCGATGAGGCGGATGCGTCGCAGACACAAGAGCAAGACATGGCCGGCTTGATCCATCGCGCGCCGTCTCCGGGGGCGTCGCAATGCTCACCGGCGCAACAGTCGCAAACACCCGCGCAGTGCATCGCAGTGCGCCCTGCCCTGACCCATCGCCTGTTCTCTCATCATCTACACGTACGAGCATTAGCTAAGCTGCAACGCGATAGACTACTTTCTGGACCCATGATCGATATATACGTAGGCGAGTCGAAGCGCCACTGGGCGCTGCACCGCAACCTGCTGTGCCACCACTCCGAAGCCCTCGAGAATGAGCTCCTGGGCGATGCCAACGGCAATACGAGGAAAGACCGCCTTGACTTGCCCGACCATGACCCGGCCGGCTTCGAGCTGCTGGTCAAATGGCTCTACCAAGGCAGTCTGGACGACGTCTCAGACATGGCCGACGAGAACCAAAAGTACGACTATGCTGTGAGCTGCCACAAGCTCTACCTCCTTTGTGAGCGCTTCAGCATGACCCAGTTGAAGAATGTAGCCATGGATCAGTATAGAAAAGGTCTACATGAGGCTGAGTTGGTCCCCGACCCCGACGAGATCAACGCCATTTACCGCAAGAGCCCGACCGGCTCGCCCTTTCGTCGCCTGATGACGCGCATTGCCGCTCGCCAGATCATGGACCCTGGGAATGAGCGTGACGTTGAGACGTATCGCGAATGCTTTACCAACAACCCTGACTTTGCCATTGATCTGGTCAAGGCCATCAGATCTGGCACTGGAGGCATGTTGTTTGACGACCCAACAGACAAGGGAAATGAGTGCCTCTACCACGATCATGAGGCCGCACCCAACTGTTACGTCAAGGAGAAACTTCGAGGGAAGCAAGGTGTGTAGCTCTGCTTTGTCTGCAGTTCATTTCCAGCTTCACCACACTCTCTTACCCCTTTTTTGATTGTATAATCCCCATAGTAACTCCCATTAACCAGCAAAGAAGAGGATCGCCCAGTCATCCGTCAAATCAGTCCCCTACATAAACTCCGTCCAGCCGAACCGCCCTCACCTCCCCCATCTCCAGACAGAGCCGCTCCTTCATTCTCCACCGCCTCCTCCCCCGCCAGCTCGCCCACACGGCAAAAATCCTCTTCGCCGCTGCCTGACAAGTCCGGCGAGTTCGACAGTTGGTACATCGAAGGAAATGGCAGTCGCTACTCAGCCGCCCAATCCAGACGCCTTTCGGGACCGGGAGAAGGACATGGAAAAGCTGCGCAAGGTGACGCCTCCGGATCGAAAACGCCTCGAACGGTTCCAAGTCAACGGGACGAGGACATACGAGACACACCTAGCCCTCGACGAGCGCCTCCAAAGCTTAGAAGACAGACATCGCCTAGTGAAGGATAGCCAAGTCATCGATGGAGTCGATGGTGAGGGTCAAGGAGGACCTGTGCAGCCGCTATATCAAACCCCCTTACGCCGCGGTATATGGGACTGGGCCAAAGGAGGGGCTGGCAGAGGCAGCATAATTGGACCTATACCAGAAACTCCAGACGATTTCGGTATGCCATCCACTACCGATTCCGAGAAGAACGACCTGTATTCAGAAGAGCAAGTCGCAACTTCCAAAGTCACAGTCTTTGGACTCTCTCATTCTCACATCAACCCATCACCGTCATTTTCGCAGACAAAGCGATCTTCAGACGAGCTCGTGGCCGCATCGTCGGCCAATACTACCCCAGCCACTCTCAACCGTCCCACTGAGCAGTGGACAAATGGCAAGCAAGTTATGCCACAACCTATATCCGAACATAGTAGTCCTCTCACACCAGAAACACCGACACCAGCACAGCGACAACGAGATATGTCGGTAGATGCCAACGGCACACCCTCCAAGAATGCAGTAGCCAGGGAGAACAGCGAGGTTGCTGAACACGTGTCAAACGGTGCATCACAGAAGCCAAGTTCGACAACTCAGGCTTCTGACCCACCCCACTTACGAACATTTAAGGTCACCCTTGCTCCCAATATGCTTTCACCAGCTCGGAACAGCCCAAGCGCAGCAAAGTGATTTTCCCCTCTTTCGGTTTTGATTTTATTGAATGATACCCGCACATACAAGTTGTCGTTTGTGTTTAGTTTGTTTAGAATACCAATACTTTATATTCATGCGTCTTTGAAGTGTTGCTTGACTCCATTTTGTGCACTAACCTGTAGTTTCCCCTTTTACTACGTGAGGTTAATACGTGGCATCGCATCACGTGCTTGACTATGTGCTAGCCTTGGTAATGCCTACACTGCTTCGAGCGTCACGCTAGAAAATCATGGAGGAGTTTTTCATCAACTGTGCTTATGTATTTCCCCTTTCCTTCGATATGAATCGATGTTCTAGACACTTGTTACCGCAACAGTCAAAACAGATTTGATTTTTTATTAGGAAGGGTAACACCAGCGCGGGGACATAACATACTACCGCCTGCACTCCCTCGCACAAAGACCACAAACTTCTCACCGCAGCGTACCTAGCGTAGGACACCAGAGTAGAAGAATGTAACAATACAAGGAAGCCTCGCGGTGCTGTACCCAAAAACAGCACCAACCTACAGGGTAGGCTAGACTCTGATCTTCGGGAGGCGCGCACCTCAAGGCCACACACTCATCTGACATGCATACAAGCTTGTGCGCCGGATGACTGTACAAAGCAACCCCCCATCCGCCCATCGTCCCGCCTTATCAGCTTAATACCCTCTCCCCCCCCCCCCCCCGGTCAATATATAAGTAAGCAAAACATGCAAAGGTATACATGGGTATATAGACTAGGATATGCGTGCGTTCTCCGGGCGCGCCAAAGCGGAGCGTTCATTGGTATATATGTACCAGGGGGTTGTTGATTGGACGCCTAGGTAAAAGACGGAAAACGAGGTCAAGGTAGTACAGGCCTGAAAGATAAAAACGGAGAGGTTGGTGGCGAAGGATTTTTTGTAAGACTTGCTTAGTTCCCTGATAAAGTAGAGCTTTTTGAAAAGGGAAGTAATTGACAAGTTTTTTTTGTTTCTTCTTCGTCTTAGTTTTTGGGTGTTGTGACGAGTTGGTGTGGGAGACGACGAGAGACCTTTTTTTTTGTTATCATTCCATCCTCCTCTTCCATCCATAAGTATTTTTTACACCGAGTACGCGAGAAAGACTAAACGTTCACGATGGCGATGACGACGCCGGCTACGGCGCTGCCGACGGGACCTGGTGGTATGCCGGGATACATATGGAACTTACCTGCGATGCCGCCGCCCGAGGGGCAGGCGTCGAATTTCGTGAACCCGGAGTCTCGCGATATGGAGTTGATTGTTATGAATGCGGTGTTTTTGAGTGCGACGGTGGTGGCGGTCGCGGTGCGGTTTGTTGCGCGGCGTACGGCTAAGGATGTTGTTGGGTGGGATGGAGGTGAGTTGGAAAAGAGAAGAAAAGAGTTCGTTTGGTCTTGTCTGGATACTTATGTGGCGTAGTCATGTGTGTTCTTGCGACAATGGCTTCGGCTGCGCATAGTGGACTTATGATTTCGGGTGAGTGATGCTGTTGTGGTGTTGTGGTATGGTGCTGATGAAAAGGATCAGGTCTCGATATTGGATATGGGAAGCATCTTTGGGATATTCGCGCCGTCACCTTGACGCATTCGAGACTACTGGTATATTCTCTTCTAATGCGTAAAGTGTCATTGATATCTAACTTGCTACAGCAACTCAACCAACTATCCACACTATACATCGTCGGTATCTGCTTTGCCAAACTATCCGTCCTGCTACTCTACCTCCGCTTCTTCAACGTCGTCGAGTTCACCCGCCACCTCATCTACTTTGGCATATTCCTGACACTGTTTACATCTGCGGCGTTCATGGGCCACGAGATTGCGCAGGCAGTGCTGTGCATGGGTGTGTCGGCTGTGACGAACCAGTTCTGTAAAGCAGTCAACAAGGTCGTGACTATCCAAGCTGCTGTCAATGTCTTCATCGACTTTTACATTCTGGTAATACCGCTACAGCAGGTGTGGAAGCTGAATATGGATTATCGAAGGAAGCTTGGAGTTGGTGCTGTTTTTGGAGTGGGTCTTGTGTAGGACATCCCCCTTTCATTGCATTATTTCAGGAGACGAAACTAATCGTGGAAAAGGGCATGTATCGTCAGTGTGGTTCGCATGGGATGGTCAATTCGGAATCTCAACGAGTCTGATCACTTCTGGGCAGCCGTTCTCACCTCGGAGATGACGATCGTAGAGCTGAACACAGTCATTATTGCGCCTTGTCTGGTGTTTTCTCCGGCTTTTGTAAAGCGCAGCAGAAGCGGACTTTCCAGTCTTCGCACAAGACTGGTTAGCAGCGGGCAAAGAACACCGTCCAAAGACTCGCTCTCGGATGTATATCACGACAAAGCGTACAGCGACGCCCCAAAGCCTCAGATTGTACCACTACAGTTTGTTACAACTCCTAAAGACTACATCGAGCCCGCAAAACCCGCTGCTACACATGGCCGGTAGGCATCTGTTGCGATGACATTTGCCAGGAGGCTGGCTCCAATTTGCATACCCAAGTTTGAAACCAAGAGGTATTTGGAGATCGTGGCTCAAAAGTTGTTTATCGGCCACATACACGCAGCAGCCGGACCTGTGTATTGGGTCTAAAACTCTTGCACTGTTTATAGGTACAATACCCCTTGTTGAATCAATTCAAAAGCATGTTTATTGCGACTAAGCTACTTGTACTTCTTGATAGTGATAGCGGCCATTTCAAAGCTGCACAAGAGAACATTCGAACGACACATCTAGACAATCATCTATTCTTCGTCAAAATAGAAAAAAAACATCGGCAGGTAGCACACTCACCGGTTCGTGTGGGTCGACTGCAATGCAACCACAGCCTGCTCGCAGCGTACAAGCTTCATCCACAAATAGGTTTAAATCGACCACCATGCTATCACAACTTCCGGGACCCCGCTACCATCCATCCAATAGCCATGCGATACCCCATCCGCGTCCGATGCTGCGAGGCGGCCCCCAACCAGCAGCCCTCCAGTAATGAGCAATGTCTCCTTGAGTATTAGCGCTGGACCCACCCCCTCGCCACAGGGTTTGTGCTTATGAGAAACAGAGTGTCGGTATCCAATGTGGCACAGCATGAAGCTCGATGTTGAAAACCTTTTTGCCTCCTGCTGCTTATCTCGGGTTTATTGATGCATCTAATTTAGCCTGCGTCTGTTATCCCGCTGCGCCGTGGTTAATGGGGGGCCGCTCTTTTGGTGTTTCCGGGACGGGAGTTCCCCCGCCTAAGTAGTAGCCCATCAAAGACCGTTGGTCCGCTCAGTGTGTGTGTGTGTGTGTGTGTGTGTGTGGATCTTGGGGCTGCACCGTCTTTCTTTGATCAAAGGGTTTCCCTGGTATACCCTCGTGCACCTATTCCTGTCAGGCTTGCGTGGCCTCAATGCGGATTTAGAAGGGAGGATGTACCAGAGACTTGTTTCCGCTTAGTTTCTGGTCCGACGTTTCTGCGAGTGAAAGGGGGGCTGGGGGCTTTGCGGCACAGCATCGTATGATTGGCTGTGATTGGGGAGATGCACTGTGTTTGCTCCTTCACTTTGTTTGGGAGTTGCTGGGTCGCTGTTGCCTTGTCACGTCTTGACCGCGTTGCTTCCGTTTCTTTGCTAAAAGCTTTTTTTTCCAATCCTCTACTCTCACCATCACACCATCACTCAAGATACTGATTCCACAATTGCACCATAAGACTCAATTCATCGCATTGGCCATCAAGAACTGCCATCATGAGCGACACCACAATTGAAGGCCCAGTCCTCATATTTGGAGGCTGTGGCTTCCTTGGACACCACCTTGTTCGGGAATTTGCTCGCGCGACGCCAACCCCCAAGATCTTCGTCGTCGATGTAAACACCGAGCGCAATCGCAATCCAGACGCCACCTATCTCACTGCGAACATCCTTCAGCGCGACGAGATAGCCAAAATCTTCCAACAAGTCAAACCTCAAGTCGTCCTTCACACAATCTCACCCAACCCATTCGAAGTCAATCGCTCGATTCTGGAGCAGGTGAACGTAATCGGAACAGACAACATAATCCAATGTGCCAAAGCCGTCGGCACTGTCCGCGCGTTCCTATATACATCTAGCTCATCAGTTGTCCACAACCAGCGCCAGCCTATGATTGAAGCAACCGAAGACTTGCCTGTACTCTTGTCGCCTGCCCAGCCAGAATACTATTCGCACACCAAAGCACTCGCCGAGAAGCTCGTGCTCGCTTCAAACCGCCAATATGACATGTTGACGGCAGTCGTCCGGCCTGCCGCACTGTACGGCCCAGGTGATGGCCAAATGACGATAAATGTCACCAAGCAAGCTCTCACCGGCCGCGCCAACATCCGCTTCGGCGACAAATCGTACCTCTACGATACATGCTACGTGGAGAACTGCACTTACGCCCAGACACTCATCGTAAAAGCACTCCTTGAAGCTTCTACATCCGCACCACTCCCTGGAGACAAGAAAGTCGAAGGCGAAGCCTTCTTCGTTACAAACGACGAGCACATCCCTTTCTGGAACCTCGCCCGCCTCGTCTCCGAGCTTCTCGGCTCCCCCGTCCCAGACGACCAAGTCAGAAACATTCCCATCTGGTTCATGAAGACTTTCGCCTTGTTGGGCTCCTGGCTCTACTGGATCTTCTCTCTCGGCCGCAAGCAGCCCAAGCTCACGCCGTGGGTTATACGTCTCCTGACCATGGAGCGAACGCTGTGCATCGACAAGATCAAGACGAGACTTGGATACAGGCCTAAATTCAACAACAGGCAGGGCTGGGAAAAGGCAATCGAATGGGCAGTGCCGGAAATCAAAGCTGAGAAAGGGGGTAAGACTGCGTAGGCTGCGGTTCGTGTGACAGCGGTTCATTTTCCGGTGTGCAGTAAACCACTGTATCCCATCTTCCATCCCACTAATTTCTAAAAATAACACTGTACTGTAAAAAGGATAATCGTATGTATACCAATCAAGATTCAAGTTCCTTGCATTGCTGCCTCCCTCGTATACATGTCCAGTGTGCAGACATGATGACTTCATCTCACACTCACACACCCCTTTGATACGAACATCATTTTGTCTTATATGCCTACTTATAATATCAACCAATAAAGCCCTGTCTCATAGCCTTGTAGAAGGAAAGAAAATGGTAGATTTCTGACGTAAACATGGCACTGCATCACACCCTTCAATCCCCCCCCCCTTCCATTCCCGGTCAGACCCCCCCGTTGAGATACCGCCAGCCACCCCCATGGCAGTGCTCAGATATAAGAGGAGGGATTGACCTCGAAGCAATGATAGTTCTAGCATAGAGTACACTGTACTGCTCTATTTAATCCATCAATAATCGACGAAGACAGAAGAGAAGAAGCAGAAAATGGCATTTTTGATATACATTTTCGTTACATTCGTGCTACTACTTACACACTACTTCTTCTTCTTCTTCTTCTTCTTCTTCTTCTTCTTCTTCTTCTTCTTCTTCTTCTCCTCCACTATCCTCATCCAAAAACCTAGTCAGAAAAAGATACCACCGTGGCTCTCGTACAGAATCCCCTTTATAGGACATGCACTGTATTTTCTCACAGATCCTTATGCTTTAGTGGCGGGAATCACGTATGCACTCCACTCACCATACACTGCTCTCACATAAAGTCACAGTAACATAAAAAAACTAACACAACCAGCCACCCAGTCCGCCTCCACCTCCCGGGCACAAACCCGATTCTAATTCAAGGCACTGCCAACATCCGCCGCTTGCTAAAATCGAGCTCGCACACGAATCCTTCGCACGCTCAGACGTTCATTGCAAGCCAACTCTTCGGCATGCCCAAGCGCGCTGCACAGCTATTTCAGCGGGATGACTCCGGGTACGCTGCTACTCCCTTACCAAACTCACGCGTAGAGGGCAAGAATCGGATTTGTTATAGAGATAGGAAGATTCTGCTAGGCATGCTGCAAGGGAGTGAGGTCGTAGGTGTAATTGAAAGATTCAAAGTTGCGTTTGAAAAGAGGATGGTGCGGATATGGGAGAACATGGAGGAAGGAGAAGAGTGGGTTGAAGAAAGTGATTTGTGGGCGTTTCTAACGAGGGAGGTGACGCCTGCTGCGATTGAGGCGTTGTGTGGAAGATTACTTGTGGAAGAGGTGGACGGGGAGTTTGTGAGCGACTTTTGGGCATTCGATGAGTGGGTGCCTGCGATCACCAAGGGGGCGCCTGCTTGGCTTTTCCCAGGGGCGTATAGGGTTAGGGATAAGTTGCTTGGGAGTCTGGTCGAGTGGCGGAGGGTGTTGTTGCAGCGACGGCAGCAGCAGCAGCAGCAGCAGGGGAGTCATGGAGACGAGGCGGATAACGCCTCGCCATCGATGATGGCAAAGATGGGTCTGCTCGACGTCGATGGATGGTCTGTGCAAGCGATCGCGGCGTCAGATCTAGGCTTGATATGGGCGTAAGTTTCTCCAGTCTACTGATTGCAAAGACCAGGGAAAATTGGCTTGTAAGCGCCGTGTGATGGCGATTGCAGACCTCGCTTTCTTTTTTAGCTGCCTTTGCTCCTTTGCTGACCACCCTCCTAGGTTAAATTCCAACACCATTTCCGCCATTTATTGGCTGAATGTCGAGATCTTCCGCTCTCGGGAACGGCTGAGGCGTATCCGAGCTGAATGCTTGAATGCAGGACGCAGCGCCAGCAGCCACAACACCAACGACAGCCATGCAATTCAAGGCACACCACTACCTGATGTCGACTTATCGGCCCTACTCACTCAGCCATATCTCCAAGCCTGTTTTGCAGAGACGCTCCGTTTGCGGACCCACATTTTTATTACCAGATTTGTCGACACTCGCGACATGGAGATAAATGAGTGGTTGATCCCTGCCGGCAGTGTCTTACTCACCTGCTCATCTGTACCGCATATGGACGCTGCGCTGTGGAAACCGAATAACCATGCCGCATCGGCACGCCCACTGACAGACTTTGTGCCGGAGCGTTTTCTCAAAATGCCAAATGATATCTCCAATAACGGTCCGGAGCGGGGCACATGTAAGCTTAATGCAGACGCCTCTCCCTCTGCCGATCCACTAGGAAAACAGCCACCAGACACTTACCCCACGTCCTGCGAATCCGCCCAACTGCAGTTTTCCGCAAAGGGGCTCGACGGCATATACGTCCCGTTTGGTGGCGGTGCGCAAATGTGTCCTGGTCGCAAGCTGGCAAAAGCAGAGACATTCATCGTGACGGCTGTATTGACATCCCTGTTTGACATTGAATTGTGCGACCTCCAGTGTGAGATACCGGTCAAGTCGAGTCACTTTGGCACAGGCGTCAGTAAGCCTGCAGCCAAAACACCTTTTCGTATTCGAAGGCGACAAACAGGGACAACGAGCTAAGTTGAATGAAATGGTAGCTGTGACATGTAGTCTATACTTGGTTACAATTTTCTTCTTTATGCCCGTGAGCTGTCGGATGATACTGCGGATGAGAATCGAGTACCCTGATCTTATTCGATTCTGTGTTATCGAGGCCTGAGATAGGGCTGCACAGAATCAGACAGATTCCATTTCGGCATTGGTTCTTATGTGCGCTCAGCCACGTACGTCTATCTAGCGCTGTATAATCCTTACCCTGCATAACGGGACTTGTCCTCGTTGTGGCAGAATACGCGAGATCCCTGTGTCCGTTGGGCAGCTGCAGAGGATACTGTAGGTCGTAACACCACCTGCAAGTGATACCACAGCACTGGGACCGTATGCGGAGACACAAAGCTGATTTCAAAGGCAGAATCGCAGTTGAATCATGTTCAGTCCTAAAATACTTTCTGTCAGTGAACTGGCTGAATCTCGTGTTGGCCCCCACGCCAGGCTCCAACGCTCATTCCTTGAAGGGGCCAACTCATGAAGCTGTAAGGTGATGGAAAATGAGACAATAATAATCAGACTTGTGTTTTGTGCAGTGATGATCAAGCCTGCATATACTGCGTACTCGAGGTGATCACCAGCGGCACTGTCCTTTATCGCCACTTCTCCTTCCAAGTGTTTCAACCCCCTTTTTGTCATGAATAGCACAAACAAAGAGTTCTTAAGATCGCTGCAAGAACACCCGATTACTTGGACGTTGGCTTCGATCGCTTGGCTTCTGAGCTGTGCTTTTGTCTGGAAATTGGAACTGATGGCGCTCGAACGAAACATGGAATCGAATCATACGAAGAACAATCTTGACTGCACTTCTAAAGGCACTCGCGATATCAGTGAACTGAAGAAGTTGCCGTGGTATACGCCGGAAATAGGTAACAAGCTCAACGAATCGATGCAAACGTTGTTGGAAGAGTATGGGAGTATTCCACGATACCTTCAAGAAGTACACATTCATCGGATCGTAAGTTTTGCAATTGGTGTCTCGAGGCATGCTAATGAAAGTAACTCAGCGTGACGCAGCATTTGAAGCCCTACCGATCGGAACAATTGGCGAATTCTGGTTCCTTGTCCTTGGACTCGCTGAGCATCCCATGTACGATCGCATCGTCAAGCGACTGGCACTTGGTGATGACAATCCCCAACCGACCTTGATCGATTTAGGGGCCTGTCTTGGTCAAGATATACGCAAGCTGATATACGACGGGGCATCGCCTGATCAGCTTCTAGGCGTGGACAAGTTCCCGCAATTCCTAACTGTAGGCCACGAACTATTTCAGGACCACACAGTCACCAAATCATGCTTCAGAACCGCAGATATCTTTGGCGAAGAGGAAGCCGGTATCCTTCGCACGACCAGAGGCTCTTGGGATATCGTGACTTCCGCGCAGCTGCTGCATGCATTCGACTGGGCGAAGCAGAAGCAAGTCATAAATCTCATGTTCCAATTAGCACGTGGGAAAGGCAGCTGGATAGCGGGTTTACTTACTGGTGGCCTGCAAGGTCATTCAGTTCCTGTTCCACCTCCACTGGTTCCTGCCGGCGTACATGTGGAACGTTACATTCACTCAGCCGAGACACTGCGACAGCTCTTTCAAGAAGCATCCGATGAAGCGGGACTGTCTGTCAGCATTGATGTGCGATATCAAGAGGACCCTAAAAGCTTGTACACGAGTGAAATCACAAAGGGTTTCTTTACTTCTCCAGAGGCGAGGCTTTTGTTTTATTTTGTCGAGATTTTTTGAGGGTTGAGCACATGCGTTTCCTGTTCATTCCAAACGATATGTATGTCGGTTCAGAAGAGAGTATATAGAAATTCGTATCTATGAACCATAGATAGCTTGGTGCGCCATTACGTCATCCCAAAGACTGACTCGCCTCGCGACATCAGCCTCAAATCTCACGACTCGCATCTCTCCTTCCTTTGTAGTTCATTCTAACGTACGGAAGCAACAGGCATTATCATCCAACAATGTTTGTTCCCAAGCTACGATTGGCGATCTTGACGCACTGCGGACCAAATCTCCAGAATCAGTGCAAGAGCCGCTCGTTAGCGGATGGAGAATGGAAGCTCCAACATGCATGTATTCCTTCGCTCCATCCACCTAGCCGAACAAAAGCAAACCTGAATCCCCCACTGCCGGTCTTTTTTTCTCTGTTCTCCCTGTAGAAACATGAGAACCCGTAAAACACATCATGGCCATACCATCAGTGATGTTTCCAAGTCCCATTGATATACCCTCCCTCTTTCTCACCTACATTCCCCTTCTCCTCACAACATACATCTTCCTCTGGACCCTCTACACCCTAAGTCTTCACCCATTATCTCGCATTCCCGGTCCCCTCTGGCCCCGCTTATCGCGAACATGGCTCATGTACCACCACTACGCCGGTGACATAGACATCGCAACGAGGGCCCTGCACGCGCGGTACGGCCCTATTGTACGTATAGCACCAGATGAAGTCACAGTCGCGGATCCAAACGCGCTGCCCCTCATCTACCCTGTTCAAAAAGCCTTGCAAAAAACGGATTGGTATATACCGTGGCGACCAAAGGGACTGGGCTCGCAGCCGGATTTGTTTACGCAGACGGATGAGATGACGCATGCAGCGTATAGGCGGATCGTAGGGGGTGTTTATTCGCTTTCTAGTATGTTGAAGAGTGAAGCGGGGTTAGATGAGATGCTGGAGCTTTTTATGCAGAGGTTGGGAGGGTTTGCGGAGAGTGGAGAGGCGTTTGATTTTGGTCTTTGGCTGGAGATGTGAGTTTTAGTTGCATTACTGAAACCCAAAATGCTGTGCTTGCTAATTAGTATGAATGTACAGGTACTCGTTTGATAACATTGGAGTGGCATTCTTCGGCCAAGCGTTTGGTTTTGTTCGTGATAGCGTTGACTACAACGGCTACATTCATGCCGTACATCTCGCAATGCCTTTTCTTACCCTCTTGACGGTGACGCCATATTATGTACGGCCTTTCCTACTTCTTGTTGCTGTCTGCATCCCGAAACTGCTCAGGGCTGTACTGGCGGTGGAGGATATCAAGAAGACGGCGATCAAAGAGACCAAGATGGCGACTGAGCGGTCTCTCGAGGTGACGGGAAAGCGGCCTGATGTAGTCTCTCAGCTCTTGTCAATTGTGCAAGAAAAGGGTAGTAAGGTAAACTACTCCCACAAGGAAATCACGTCGGACATGTGGGTAGGGATGTACGTGTTCTTGGCATGGAAGTAAGACATATTGTGCTGACGAAGCGTAGCATGGCCGGCGCGGACAGCACATCGATAAACATGCGCTCGGTAATTTATTTCCTGATGAAGAATCCTGAGAAGCTCGAGAAAGCGCGTGCAGAAGTCGATGCAGCTTTTGAGGATGGCAGCCTTTCATCGCCCGTGCAATATAGTCAGGCATCCGCACTCCCGTACTTGACAGCAGTGGTGAAGGAAGCCGGGCGGTTATTCCCCGCGTTCTCAGTGTCGATGCCTCGGTATGCGCCCAGTCAGGGTCTCACACTTTGTAACAAATACATCCCGGGGGGTTATACTGTGGGTATGAATCCGGCAATTGTCCAACATGACACTGGTATTTTTGGAGAGGACGCACTCGAGTTTAAGCCCGAGCGATGGCTGGAGAGCGAAGAACGCACACGGGCAATGGACAGGGCAATCCTAGCATGGGGGGCTGGTACGCGGACGTGTGTTGGCAAACCTGTGAGTGGCTATGGATGTGGCTATCAGACGCCCGCGCTGACAGTGCATAGCTTGCCTTGACACAGATCTACAAAGTAACTGCAGAGACATTGCGCCGATTTACTTTTGAAATGGCACACAACCGGCCATGGAAGGTTCACAACTGCTCCTTCAATGTGCAGACGGATGTGGTGTGCAGATTCAAGAGGAGAGACTTGAGCGCCACATAGAAAGCTGTGGCTTGCATCATGCAGGTTCTAGCTGTGGACAACAACGTATGCCTTATCAGCAAAGAAACAGAAATATTAGTCAGATGGAGTGCAGGATCATGATTCCTTCGCTATAGAGCACGGATGCACAAGGCAGCGGTGACAACGTGGTTACTGGGAAGACCCTCGCAAGCATGCGCCACGAAGGAGATCATCCGAGACGAGAATCAACAGATTTTGGGAGAATTGCCGTAACAGGTATGTTGAGATGTGAAACTGCCGGGCTGAGTGTCGTTAGCGCCCTGGAATAGATTGCTGCGGCTAGATGTTGCATGTGAGTTGCATCGGATTTTGAGTTTGTCGAGACCAGCGAAAAGGACTCGTGGGACCGTGCGCGAGTACGAAGTCTTGGAGAAAAAAAAGCAAAGAAAGGGGCTGTCTCTCGTTGGGAATAGTATGAGAAAATATAAGACCAGACCTGATCGTAACACGAATGGAACACAACTTGGTTGTGGCATTTGTCAGAACTGCTTGATTTGTTCAAATTCGGATCTCTATTCCAGTTTCTGAGGAAATCGTGCTGATGAAGTATCAAAATCGTTCAATGCGAAATGTTTGGAGTTACCAGATTGATCGATACAACTCAACCCAGGATGCGTGTAACTGGACGGAAAAACCTGTGAGAGTACCAAGATCTTACTTGGCAAATGGAAGGAAACAGGATAGGGGTTGGGTAGAGGCCTAGCCTAGCGTGCACTTTCCTGTATCAAACCCCCACATGAGTACATGTGAGCGATACTATGCTTCTCCGAAGTTTAACATAGAATCTGGCTAGAGCTGGCCACATGTTGGTTCGCTTGGCTGAATTGGAACCAAATTATGCTGTGGGGTAGGGGCCAAGGGCGGGGTGAATGAACGGTCCATGCCGCCCAGTGCATTTCAATCGCACTTCCATATTTGTCGCAGCGCTAGACTTTGGGCAGAAGATACCGAGGAATAGTCCTTTTTGTGCTGCTGATTTTTGATGGTGGTTGAGTGGTTGTTGGGGTCAAGGCCAAACAGGCTAGTAGAGGCACAGATGATGATTGACACCGGGGTGTTCTGGCGATGACGATAGCTCAAAATCCGCCTTGCTGCTTGTTCCCTAGTCGCGTACCCGCTAGCCTGGCCTTGTGGCTGCCTCTCCCTACCCATGTGAAGCTACAGACGTGAAAAGCAGGTGTATCTTGCATTTCCTTTTTTCCTTTTTTCGCTAAATGTGCTCTGTTTGAAGCTCCATGTCGCGTCCCAGTTGCCTACCGTGATTCTGCACCAGCGCACCCCCAGCAGCCAAGTCGAGATAGGAGACAACGTCCAATGCCCACCCAGGAGCGACACTCATGGCATAAGCCTGAGGTGACCAACCTGCCGCCAGACTCGTATACTGCGCAGAGATTGGTATGCAATCCCTGCCATGTTATGCAGGCCATAGGCTGAGTACGAGAATTAGCAACATGCCACGCCTGAACACCTTCACCTCACCTCGAGGCGCTACTTCATCGGTCCTATCCCGGTATGCCCTCTCCCCAGCAGCCTGCCCCGTTGGAGTCCTGCAGAGACTAACGCTCCGTCTAGACAGCATGGCTGAACAAGCATCGACGCGACTGGTACAAGCACCATCTGCGCATCAACTACTCGACCCGCGCTGGAACCTTTTCCTCGGACCCCCGCGACGCTCGCCAGCGACGACTGAGTGGTCTTGAAGGCCCCAGTTCTTCCGCCCTCTTTCAGCACAGCTTCCCCCAGCCCCAAGAACTCGACGCCGAGGAGGAAGAGACGGGGGATCGAGAAGGAGGACAGAAGGGAGACTTGCAGTCGTCCGAGGCAAGCGGCGCAAATGGAAAAGCTGCCGCGACTGCGGCCTCACCACCTGCCTTGCAAATACCCCGCAGTTCAGACAACAGAAAGGATGTGGTGACGGAAGCGGAAGAAGAGCACTGGGTTGACGCGCCTTCTGAGCCTGAGGACGAGGACGGGGACAGCGATGACGACGACACCCACCATGACCACAACCAAGACATCCCCGCCCCTCCTCTGACAACACGACGGTCAAGCGAAAAGACATTTGTCACTGCGTCCTCTGTACCAATAACAGAGCCAGACAATAGCGAAATCACAGAAGACCAAGACCCTCAGCAGGAGGAACAACACCCGGTAGAGCAAAACGGCCTACAAGTCCCTTCGAATGGAAGCGAGCCAGGATCAAAGTCGCTGGGCAAGCGCCCGCTACTTAGCATAGAGAGCCATGGACATCCTGCGTCAACCACTGGAGCTGCTTCTGTAGATGCTAATTCAACGTCGTCTCTGTTGCCCAACGCTGACACCAACAAGGCACCCGCTCTCGCTGACATCGACCCAAACCCACCCGCCAAAGGTATACTGGCCAAGGTCAGGAGAAAGTCTGAAATGATGTCTTCTTCCTCTGGGCAAGCACAGGATGTAGACGCCTCGTCAGGAGAGTTGACGCGCAAGAAGTCGACTATGCGAAATCTGGTCAAATTCGATGTCCCGGAAAATTCGAGGCGTGCAGCCATCCACCTCAAAGCAAAGAAGGCGCAGATGACGGTCCAGCGAGCAGGTACCAGGGTTCGACGAAAGAATATCAAAGAGGGGCTCGTTGTCAAGATGGAGCGCATGCTCGTTCGTGTTGATGCTGCAGCAGAGGTTCCGGAAGATTTTGATGAGAACGTCAGCCAAAGAGTCGTGTCTCGCGTCAAGAACAAGTGGCGCGAATACATGGTTGTCTGCCGCCACAGTCACGTTGATGGTGCTGATTTCGTGCTGCAATTCTACCAGACTCGAGTCATTCCAGAAATCGAAAATGCGGGCGCGAGCAAAAAGGCGGCATATGAAATTCCACTCAGTCGCAAGACCAGCAAGGCCAATCTGTATTCTGCGCTCGACAAGACTGTGGTCGTCTCAACGCCAAGACGTCCTGAGACCTTGATCTTCATTATGCAAGCTCGCACTTCCTCGAGCGCTGCTGAATGGTATACCTTCATCAGGAACATACTTGGTTGGCAACGGGCTTCTGAACTTCAAATCAATATACCTGACATGAGCCTAAGTGTGAGCATAGTAAATCCTTTTGCGCAGCTAGAATCCTCTCAGAATAAAGTACATTGCGCAGATGATACTGAAGAGGCTCTCCTAAAAACTATGCAAGAAGAGGAGGCTGTTGCAGAGAATCTCATACGACGCTGTCTGGAGCAACTGGAAGACGAACCGCAATGGGCCGATGTCCTGGCATCATGGATGAAAGACCAACGCATTGGTCTTGCCTGGAAGCGCTACGACCGGCTTGAATGGATACACGGAGCCAACGAACGCAAGATGTATGGCACCATTGCTATGCTCAAATCACATGAGCTGGAGCTGCGACCCAAGACGCATTACCCCACGACTGCCATTACGCGAAAGAAGCACAAGACGCTTACCGAGCCAGTTCCAGTTGAAGGCTTCCTCATTCGGCTTACTGGACAACGGGGTCGGTCTAAGCGCCTAGGGCTCATGTACCACAAGCAACTGTACTTTGCTAGTCATGACCAGTACTTGGTCTTTTCTCGCCCGACCAAAGCGACTCCACCACCGCCTCCAAAGCTACCTGCTTCAGAGAATGCGACCGTGCCAACACCAGATGCAGTTAGAGACGCGGTACCAGACAGCTGGGCAGTAAACCCATACAGTCTGCAGCATGGTCAAATTGAATGGCTCATGGAGGGTCACTCTGGCACGACCGAGGCCAGGCGGCTGCGCGATGAGGATGCAGCAGATGAGGCCGAGCGCAAAGAACAAAATCTCCTCAACTGCGACGGTTACATCAACCTGACTGATGTTGTCAAAGTCCGCAAAGCCCGATTGGGTGCTAGTGCTGCTGACGAGGACCTTGAGGAAGGCTCGGATGTGGACTTTGACGAAGACATTGATGACTCTATGAACAACGACGGAGTGACTAATGACCTGGATCTTGATCGTACCCTTGAGCTAGTCATGAAGAACGGCCTCATCATTCGTCTACAGGTATGTGTCTGTACAGTGTTTATTCATGTGCCGCGCTAACGTGGTCATTAGGCTGCGAACAAAGCCCGTCGAAAAGAATGGATACAGCATCTCCGTGCCCTTGTCAAGTACTGGAAGCATCGCACTGCATCTGATATTGCTCTCTACAAATCCACACGCAGTCGTAACCTTAGCGCCCTTAAGATTGACGAAGAGACTGAAGCGCATGTTGGTCAATTTGCTCGCAAGTGGGAGGTAACGCAGTCCTTTGCTTCGCCTGAGCTTTACAACATGTGTGGCATCGCTTGCTGCCGACCTATTCACATGAGCGGAATGCTTTACCGTAAGCCTCGTATACATGCTCCCTTTACGCGGTGCAGCGTCCTGCTCACCGCTGGCACACTTCTTATCTTTCGCGATGTACTGCGAAGCAGAAGTGGAAAACAACTCGCGCATATACACCATGAGCGAATGGCCAATCTGGACCTCAAAGACTGCTACATCTACTCTGGTCTTCTCACCGAGAACGATTTGCTATATCAAAATCAAACTTTTGATGCGAATAAGCCAGGGCACCACGCACTTCCGCGGATATACCTCGAAGACGGATGGACATCAACTGACGAAGACGTTATGACAACGTTTGTCATCTGGCATGGAAAGGCCAAGAGTTGGTTCCGCGCTGAAGAGGGCGCCGGGGGCGGTGAACAGAATCGAAAAGAAGGAAAGAGGACCAAGTTGAAGAGAGTGGCCAAGCTGGGGAGCAAAGGTCGTAGCGTGGTTTTTAGGGCTCGGTCACGTGCAGAGCGCGACCATTGGGTGCTGGCAATTCAGAATGAGATTGAGAGAGTGCAGGGGAGTGCCGCAGACTTTAGACTAGAAGAGAGTATTCAGTGAGCGATATGGGGTTAGGATATGAATTGGTATGTTACGGCGCAGAGGACCGAGGTGGGTTCTGAGGTAATGCAGGATGCTTGTATCATATGTACACTGGAATGTTGTTGTATGGTGGAGGGCATTGGCGTTTTGATGATGGCTAGCATTCATATTGAGCATATTTAGCGTTTATTAACATTGTTTAATAGCCAGTAATACCACATTTGTTACTTCAACCTCAGCTTGTTGCGCTCGAGAAGTGTGAGCACCCCTGATATGCTATACTGCTGGCTACCTGGGTACTTAGTTTAAGTGAACGACCATTGCATGTTCAGCCCACCGCCCTCACTATGCAACGCCTCAACGGACTGGGAGGTTCTTTATCGCACTTCTAATTTCCGAGCTTATTGCGCAACAGGTTTTAGCGGTCTTTGCTTTCACTTACTACACTACCGCACGGTCCACCCCACACAGCAAACGCCCCCCTCTACGATAAATACCCCGCAGCGGTAGGTCATAACCTCTTCTCCTCTCTATCTGAACCAGAGCTACTCTCGTTAATATCACAAGTTTACTTTCAGTTTTCAACTACACTCGTTCAAAACTACTACCTACCAACCGCAATGGCTATGCTCAAGGCACTCCTCCTCGCCGCTACGGCGCTCATCAACGTCGCTGTTGCCAGCACTGCGTTCTCCTCTGGAGCCGCCTCCGCAGTCACGTCGATCCACCTCGTCACCTCCGTCACCTTTGTCTCCAGCCTGCCGGACGCTCACAGCAAGACGTGCGACACGACGACAGTGACTCAGGTTGTGCCTCCCACCACGGTGACTGTAACTGCAAACCCTAGCACGGCTGCTCACTCTTCTGCTGTTACTTCTGGCCTCGACAAGTCTGTTCATGTCTCCTTGATCCCAGTTAAGTCCACTGTGTGTCACCCATTCTGTTTACACAAACCCCGCTGTCTCACTGTTGATTGATCTGGTTACTAATAATACAGACGATTTCGACTGCTACCTTGCACGAAACCAAAACCGCTACCTCCACGACTAAGCCGCCTTACAACGTCCCTGCCAACTCGACGGTTCCCGTGGCTACGCCTACGCTTACCTTCTCGCACTCGCATCACGCTAACTCCAGCGCTGTTCTCCCGACGGGAACGGGTGCTTCGCCTGGTGCTTCTTACTCATCTCCTTATACCTCGCCTGAGTTCAACGCTGCTACGGATGCTAAGAACGTGGCTGGTATTGTGCTTGTTGGAGGTGTCGTCTTGGCGCTTTTGGGAGCTTAGATGGGAGGGTATGTTGGGGATCTTGTCTGCCGATTTTCGGTCTTACTGATAGCAAAGAATGTGGGTAATGGAAGTGTAGTAGTAATGGCTAGATGAGTCTTCTTCGTTCGATAGGGAACAGATCGAGGATATGGGGGTGATATGGTCTTGTAGTAGATACTTGCAGAGAGAAAGAAAGGAATGACAAGTTGTGATTCCACAATGATATTGAAATAAATGACAAATTCCGAGTGATTGCTTTTTCCCCTCCCATTGCCTCCATCACTTTTTGGGGTGTTGCACTCGCTCAAGTCCCTCACATGGGCAAGCGACGTCGACTACCTGCCTTTCCCAAACCAGCCTAGCGCGATTTGCCCCACGCGTGAGCGGCGGGGCGAAGGTCTCACACAGTGGGTTGGGCAAATCTTTGAGTCACTTTGCCCAACATCGACGACGGTCCACTCTGCACACGACTTTACCATTTTTGCTTTCCCGTTGAAAGTAAAAACTACTCCTGGGCCTCACCTACCACCTTAGGCTTAAAAGGGAAAAATCGATACCACACACGAAGCGAGTGATCGAGCGAAACAACCCACGGTCCCTCACCAAACCCTCCACACCCCATCCATACATCAGTAGACGATCAAAAGAAACATATCCAACATGTCGTTCGCGAATTGCCGGTTTTACGAGGAGAAGTACCCTGAGGTGGAGAGCTTCGTCATGGTTAATGTCAAGCAAATCGCCGAGATGGGTGCATACGTAAAGCTACTGGAATATGGTAGGTTTTCAAGAATCACAAACAGTGCAAGCGAACGAAGCCCCAACTAACGAAACGTAGACAACATTGACGGCATGATTCTTCTCTCTGAACTGTCGCGACGACGTATCCGATCTATCCAAAAGTTGATTCGCGTGGGCCGCAACGAAGTCGTCGTCGTACTACGTGTTGACAAGGACAAGGGCTACATTGACTTGTCAAAGCGCCGAGTGTCTCCCGAGGACATTGTCAAGTGCGAGGAGCGATACAACAAGTCCAAGATGGTGCACAGCATCATGCGTCACGTTGCGGAGAAGACGCAGACGCCGATTGAGGAGATTTACCAGACGATCGGATGGCCACTGAACAAGAAGTACGGACACTCGATTGATGCATTCAAACTGAGCATTACCAACCCGGAGGTCTGGAATGATGTTACGTTCCCCAATGAGGTTGTCAAGGAGGAGCTGCAGAGTTATATTGGCAAGAGGTTGACACCACAACCCACCAAGGTCCGCTCGGATATCGAGGGTATGTGGATAGCGATTATGAGATATGGACGTGTTGCTGATTTTTTGCAGTTACGTGCTTCGGATACGAGGGTATCGATGCTGTCAAGGAGGCTCTGCGATGTGCAGAGGCCAAGAACACACCCGAGAACCAGGTCAAGGTCAAGCTGGTGTCGCCACCTCTCTACGGTATGTTTGAAGATATTTCTGCATGTAGAGAACAGTTACTAACATGTCGGCAGTTCTCACCTCGCAATGTCTGGACAAGAACGCAGGTATCGCGTGCCTCGAACAAGCCATCCTGGACATCAAGGAGAACATTTCAAAAGCAGGCGGCGACTGCCAGGTCAAGATGGCACCCAAGGCGGTTACGGAGAACGACGACGCGGAGCTGGCAGCGCTCATGGAGAAGCGCGAGCGTGAGAACCAGGAGGTTAGCGGAGACGAGGATGAGAGCACGAGCGACGAGGGTGGTGTTGCCGAGGCTGATTAAGCGGGCTTGGGGAGCAGGAGAATGATTTGGTACGAGCAATGATGATCACGATGGGAAAGCAAGGGTCAAAAAGTGACTACCGGCGTTGGAGGCGTCGATGATACAAAGGGATTCCAGCGTTTTGCGAGAGCATCCACAATGTATGTATAGCATCCGTCCTGTCCGGCACCTGTTTTCCAGCTATTTCTTTGGAGAAGAGGAGCTTGAGTGTATGAGAAGAAGAACGAAAGAACGAAAGAAAGAAAGAAATCAATTCAAAAAGGCCTCTAATCAAAAGCGAATCCAAGATCCAAGAATGACAAGGCGCGGCGTTGAAGGGCGGAGAGGGGCGGAGAAGAGAGCAGAAGAGGAGCTTGGGCCGCGTGGAGTGGGCGGGAGATGGGCGCCATGACGCTGCACATGTGGGTTTGCGAGCGTCGTCAATCCAGCTTTTTGGCGCCTTTGCAGCCAAACGCTAGCCGGCGCAATCCTTGTTGGACCAAGCATTTCTGCTATCTTGTCGGCTGCTTTGCTGTCGCTCTTTGTTACCGCCTATTCTTTTTTGTTCCGCACTTCTTGGAGCAATTCGACGGGGCTTACTCTCCACCTCGGGCCAAGGATACGCATCACAAGCCTGATATCCCAGTTAAATACCTGCCGCAATAATGGTCAGGTGGGGCGAGCTGTTCAGCTCCAGTGAGGGCCACGATAGGAGACACAGGGTGCATGATGAGACGAGCGCGCGTACGAGAGCTTTTGGATTGCGGCCCTAGGCGGAGAATACACAGCTAACATGTGCCAGTGCTGCCGACCGCCCACCGCGAACGCCATATGCCGCCCCCGCCCATTGATCCCAAAGATGTCACGGTAGTGGCCCTGCGATTGAAACATCAGATCGAGCAGGTTATTCCCTGCGAGCTCGAAGAGGACCAGGTCACGCGCGCCCATAGCCAGATCATAACCGACGCCGTGCTGAAGACGGCGCGCGAGGCGGGAGCTCCCGAGCACAGTGCCTGTGTCGTATACTGCTTGCTGCATGTCAAGAAGTGGTTCAGCATACAAGCAAAGTCCGAGCTGTGGGATGCCGACCTGCACCATGTTCGTGCTGTGGCAGCCGAGGTCATGGCAAAGCGCTTGATCGAGGAGGAAGAGGATATCAACTACCTCTTTGAAGAGGTCCTGCTCAAGCGGTACTCGACACTGGTCGACGGTGAGCCCTCTGTGCCTGCCAACGCTGTAGAGAAGGCGGTCGATTTGCACGCTGTGACAGTCATTGGATCGTCGGGATACCAAAAGTGCATCAACTATCTGTGGCGCGGATGGATTGTCCAGGACGATGAGGACCCAAGCCGTTTTGTTACGTACGACCACAAGACAAACACTAGCTACTGGGCCCATCTGGACCCGGACCGCATGCGAGTGCCCAAGTACCAGAACTGGGTCCAAATTGGCATGTCCTTCATCTACCTGGGCCTCTTCACTGGTGCCATTAACACTATCAATCCTTCGGGCGATTTTGATATCGTCGAGTGCTTGCTGTATCTCTTTACGCTCGGCTTCATATGCGATGAGGCAAACAAGTTCTGGAAGGTCGGCCGGTACTACATTTCCTTTTGGAACATGTTCAACAGCACAATGTACGCCCTGCTTACAATCTCGTTTGTCCTGCGCATCGTTGCATTTGGGCACCCCAGGAGCACCGATGAGGATGGCAGGCGCGACTACTTCAACAAGATGAGCTACGACTTCTTGGCTTTTACTGCGCCTATGTTTTGGATTCGTCTTTTGCTCTATCTCGACTCGCTACGTTTCTTTGGCGCCATGTTGGTTGTGCTCAAGGTTATGATGCGCGAGTCGCTCATATTCTTCATGCTCTTGTTTGTTGTTATTATTGGTTTCTTCCAGGCTTTCATTAGTCTCGACGTCGTGGACAACAATCTGCTGGACGACACTGTATTCATCATGCAAGCCATGCTCAACGCCATCATGCAATCCCCCGAATTCGAAGGCTTTGATAACTTCTCCGTAAGTATCTTCTACTAACCTTTTCATCTTGTCATAAAGCTAATCCGTGCGCCACACAGCCTCCATTCGGTATAATCCTCTACTACATTTTTACCTTTGTTGTCATGGTCATCCTACTCAATGTCCTCATTGCCCTATACAACTCGGCCTACGAAGACATCACCTCCGCCGCAATCGACGAATACATGGCGCTCTTCTCCCAGAAAACAATGCAATTCGTGCGCGCCCCCGACGAAAACGTCTTCATTGCCCCGTTCAATCTCATTGAAATGGTCTTCCTCATCCTCCCCTTTGAATGGTGGATGGATCAGAAACGCTACGATCGTCTCAACGATATGGTCATGGCTGTAATCTACTCCCCGCTCCTCCTCATCACCGCCATGCTCGAGCAGCAGGAGGCTTGGGTTGTAAAAGAAAACCGGCGTCGCGGCGAAGATGACGAAGACGTGACGATGGAGTGGGAGCAGGTGCTCCATGGCTGCGACTTTGAGGCTGATGGATGGGATAAGAAGGTGCAGGCTTGCAAGCCCAATGTTGAATTCGACACTGCGGTTCTTGAGGTCCGCGCGCTGAGGAAGGAAGTCGCGGAGCTCAAGGATATGCTTAAGACGTTGGTTGAAGGCGGTGTTGGCCCTGGTGGTGGCGTGGGCAAGTGGGGTGGTGATACGCTTGGTGAGAGTGGCCTGTCGAAGCTGGATGTGAGTAAATTGGCCATGCAAGGGGAGAGCTCGGAGAGTGGTGCTAGGGATGAGTAAGTGTTCTTCTCCTTCTTTCTTTCTCTTTTTTTTCCCTTCTATCTTATCGATCTCTCATCTTTTGTATACTACTCGCGATTATGTGTGTGTTTGCTTGTTGACTTTTTTGTGCTTTTTTGCATCATCTAGGCGCTATAGGAGCGAGTTTGGTGAGAGCAATGCGAGTGACTGGCATTCGGATTGATTGAGGGGACTCCCTTTGTCTTCCTCTCTTATCGACACAAACTTCAATATACGTTAGGGGGGTCCTTACTCTCCGTTTTGCCTCTTCTTTTTTTTCTCTTCTTGCTTTCTTTCCAAACACCGATGTCTGGGTGGAGCAGTGGAGGCGTAGGAGTAATGGTACGAGATTGTATAGCGTTTTTTTTATATTCGATATGGGAAATGCAACGATTCTCCTTCTTTTTGTTTGTTATCTTCCATGTCGTCTGTTCCAATCTTTTCGCACGTGGGATTGTGATAGTGCTTAAAAAGGAAAGGTAAAAGTGGGATAATTAGGTCATTTCACACATATTACTATGTTTCAGTCGACGGGATCAATAATTATCCGGTCTTTTTTCCCCTCCTCCTATCACCTTCAGTCCTTTCTCTCTTATATATGACTTTTACCCACCATCCCAGTATCCGAATTCTTCTTATCCCAAGATACCCCAATACATTTACTGAAGGGCAAGTCCTAGAGGTAGATGGAGAGGGGCCGGAGATACCGGAGAGAACATCAGCATGAGTTTTGGTATGAAGTTTGTAGAGTGAGGGGTAAAAGTCGACAAGGGTTAGGATGTGGCCGGGTGGGATGGGTGTGATTACTTATTTTACTTATATTTTGAAGATTCGGGGTTTGTCGGGTCAGGGGGGTGTAGGTTTGGATAGGGTGGAAGGTGGGGGATTTTTTTTGCAAGGGATATGGGGGGGAGGGTGGTGGTAGCGGGGGAGGATCGAGTGGTTATAGGGCCTGGCTGAGATGTATTTTGGGCTGGTTTTGGTGCTTTTTGGGTACTGTTTTGTGGGTTGCTTTTGTATGTTGGGGTACCCGAGAAGCGCGGGTTTTTTCAGGATCAATGTTGTCAGTGAAGTAGTATGTGTGGGTTTTTTTGCTTGAGGTGTGCCGTTTGGAAGCTTGGGTTTTAACATTGGGGGATAAAAGTTGCTTCCTTTAGTGGTTTTGATCTGAGTTCGAATGCTTTTGCTTTGGCCATGGTTCGTGAAGCCTGGGATGAGATGAGTGGGGTTTCGCGTTCTGGTATATTCGCGAGTGATGTCCGTAAGAAAAGGCAAGACATCCTGTTATGGCAAACTATAGATCAGTTATCACGGCGATCTAATTGCGCTTTGGCGATTCTGATTTGCACAAAGATCTCGACTAGTGTAGTAATCAGTAGCTTGTGACTATCATCCCTTGAATAGGTGGGTCCGTGATCAACATCTCCCTACTTAGCTTCGCAATCAATGTAACCATACATTTGGAAAAGTCGGGGGAGAGGCGACAAGAAGTAGTTCACTTCTGAACTATCAGTTCCCTCTAAGATAAGAAGTAGCGCATTCCTCAAAGTTTAGCCTGAACCCTGAAGCTCTTCTCCACAGCCTCCACTCCCTTACTCGCGACATCCTCGTCTTGACTCGGCGTCCCAGTGCTACATCCTATAGCTCCAACAACAGCTCCATCTTTCTTGATCGGAACTCCACCCGCAATCGTCATAAACCGGCCTCCGTTGCTGTGGTTGATTCCGAAAGCGGGTCCACCAGGCCAGACGACGTCTTTGTAGATGGAAGTTGGAGCGCGATGACCAGCCGCGGTAAAGGCCTTGTCGATAGCAGTGTTGATTGAGGTGAATTTAGCGCCTTCCATGCGTGCGAATGCGAGAAGATGGCAGGCGTTGTCCACAATGGCAATGTTCATCGGGACATTGATTTCTTTGGCTCGTGCCTCTGCAGCTTCGAGCGCGACGCGCGCGCCGGCGAGAGTCAGTGTTGGAACCTCCTTAGTGCTCATGTTGGCTACTGTAAAATAATGGTTTGCTTGTGTGTTGATAAAGGTGAGCTACTGTTCTGTTGGAATGACGCTGCGTGTTGGGACGCGTCGAGTGTTGGTACCGGGTATTCACGGAATTGTGAAGGATATCGTCGTTCCTTCGCAACACTCACGTGACATAAGCTACTGTGTGCGACATATCACGTGACAATTTCCTGCATCATGTCACATCAAATCCAGGATGTTGTATGAGCTCAATCTTCTCATTTCAACAGTGAGAACTTTCACCAGTAAATACAGTGCAAAATCAAGTCCTAATAGGGCACATGAGAGACCTGGGGCGAAAACCTTGATGGCTCGCAGCTTGTCCAGATCTAGGTGTCCGACTTGTGCACTCTAGCTTATTACCTTAATCTTGTCAAGCATGATCTTCACCAAGAGTGGGATGAAGTTGTTTAGATACAGGCAACCTGCAATTTCATTCATATTTAGCCATATCGAGTCCTTATTGTATGTACTGACCAACGGATGGTCGGTACTTCCAACCTCACCTGGCTTAGGATGTACTCTTAGTAAATATGGCTGCTGTTATTATAAGAAATAAACTTCATGTCATAGTAGTAAAACCATCCTGTTGAACCACTGCAAGGTACAGCTTCAACGGGAATAACACATAACAACACTCAGCATGCTGCAGCTCGATCGGAAAGTTTCGGTAGCTGTAGATCACATAGACTATATGCTGTACGACATTCTCTAGATCATCTAGCATGGTAAGCCGTCGGCTCTTGGCGTATCCATATATTCTACTAGAAGCCAGTCAGGGTTAGAGGAAGTATCTGATCTTCAACATCTTCGTCCATAAATAACGAACGCAATGATACGGATATTCGCCGCATGGCGCTTCCAGCCTTGGAGAATATCTCGAACTCACCGCTTGTTGTGAAGCTGTCAAGGATAGAACTAAGGCTAAGTATACCCCTGCCCAAGTGAACGTTTAACTTTCCTCGTTGAGATCCTTGAGAGACGTTCCTGTCTCTCATTGGCTTCTTAAGCTACATATTACACCACCGATGCGGGAAAATACATGTACTGAGGCGCCCTGCTTAACGAGCTGGATCCAGTGGCTCCATTGGCACTTGACGACGCCACAAAACAATGCCTCGTCTTGACAGCGAGCACCCTACGTATGTAATATAATCCGTCAGACCAGGGGCAGTGGGCCCCGATCTGCTCACCTCAATCAAGTACGCATAGATGCAATATCCTTCTTGACGTGGTGCGGGTGTTATCCGGACACTTTCTGTGTTGTTCATTTCAAATCCTGGACACATTGGCCAGATCTGATAAGCATGTGTAGTAAACGATACGAGGGGCGAAGTTTCTGCATTTCATGCGCAAGGCCGCGCAGTACGTACCGAGCCGACCGATGTGCAGGGCATTATTTTTCCTTGGCCGGTCCGAAAGGTGATTTAATCATTCGTAGACGGTGAATCAAGGGAGATATCATTACGCATCTGCCATATATGTCTGGTGTATACTAATAAGCAGTACGACGAGGTGGCCAGTGTGTTGGGAGAGGTTGTGCAGCATCCTTCAGGCGACCTCAGATGCAGGGGTCAGCCACATGCCGAAAAGATGCCGACGCTAGTCCTGAAAAGGCGTATACAGCTGTGGCTCACCGGGCAAGAGGTGCCTTTGGGTGCTGCCATTTTATCTAGTATTTGCTTACATCTACACGCCGTCGCCTGGTATGCACCAACCAGGATTATCCGCAAAATCTCCGATGGACTTTGCTCCGCACACGGATACGGGTCAAGCCATGCAAGGTCTGGCACACGTCTTGGACATCCCCGCGTCAGGCGCACTGTCTTTGTCTCCGAGTCAGGGGGAGGCGACTCGTGGTGGAGAGCGTTGATCTCCTACTATGCATGCACGTTAGCCCATGCTCAGCAAGAATTTCTTCACTTGCTTCTGAGGTTTGCGCTGCCAATCACACTTAGCACTGCTGGCTTCCATTGGTTCGCTGACGGCACGCATACCGCCGCTACGTATACTGCTAACATAGTCTGGTTGCGAAAATTGCGGTCGGGCCACTACTGCCGGCCGTCAGATATCATCCTGCATAGTGCCTTGGGCTTCAGCGTACATAGCTTTACTAGTCCCGGCCGCGTCACGTTGCATGCTATCTGTCTTCCCTGGTCCTCATCCCATTTATTCCCGCTGCTCGCTGCTTAGCCCACGACTGCCACCACTGGATTCGGAGGAGCGGTTCGCACGTTTGGACTGACATCGAATATACACTACTCTCTACGTCCCATTCGCCGCAGCAAGTTGGAGCAAGATGTCAGGTGTTGTCTGCGCCTGGGCAAACCTGCCAGAGGAAGCGGTGGAATGGTACGAGAACGAATTCTTGCCGCAACAGCGCAACGTGGAAGCTATGCACTCGATACATTGCGAAGTCACTGCGAGCGGCATGGAGCATGAGCCAGTCGGAAAACTAGATGCGCCATGGCCCTTCCTTACAGTCTACGAAGTCAAAGATGTTGCCCGGACAAACAAAAAAGTCGATGTCGTGTCTGATCACCTGGAGGCGGCAAAAATTGATCCGCTCAAGCATGTGAACTTCGACGTCAGGTCATACCGAGAAGTCAAAAGGTGGCAGAACGAAGAATTTGAGGGCAACGGAAGTCCAGGTAAGAATATCGGTCTGAACGAAGCACACCCCGAGGCTAATTCTGCCAGACATCGAACACGTCGCGAGCATAGCAGCCATGGAATGGACGGTCGATGATGCCAAAGAAGAGGAAATTTTGAAGTATTACTATGAAGTCGTTGGACCTACCATTTCCAGCTCACCTGATGTGCTGCGTTTTCGTCTCTTTAAGCTCGACCGTGCAGTCGTTGTGGACAAAGACCAGAAAAGAACTTGTTTGGATAACAAGAATCTTCACAAATACTTTACTCTCGTCGAGCTCGAATCTGAAGAGTGGCCTTGGGACGTTGTTGTCGACCTTGCAGAGAACCCAGGTTGGTCAAAGTATTTTGAAACACAGACAGTCGTGGTACGTTGCATGGCCAAAAGAAGACATCATCTACTAACCAAACACAGAAATGGCAGCTTAGTCATTACTTAACAAGATCAACTTTCTGGGAGTACAAGAAACAGCCCTCCGCTTCCTAATAGGCGTTGAGGCGAGCAGATCATGCTTATATACAACGTATCTCAATCCTGATTGATGACTACACACTACTCGAGGCCTACTAAAATGACCGAAATCGCGACCTGTTCGTATCTATCATACGGAGATATGAAGGTTACGAAGCTCGGTACTCTTCAATTGTTTTGGTCTCAACCGGGCATGCGCCAGAACATCCTCCAAAACTATTATCAAACCAATAGGACTAGTGGCTTAGACCATACTTCACGAGAAGAGGGGAGCAGTTATAGATCGTTACGTACAGCTTCATTGCGACATGTTCGAAATCAGACAAGAACCTAATCTATCCGTATGCGCATATGAATCTGGCACCAAAGCCTAACAATAAACAATTTATCCGCATCACTCACATGCTGATACTCCGCTTCCCCCACTTTCATCATAGCCTCCGCTGGATCCTCAGTCTTAGGCGACCCAATGTTCCGAATCGCCTTGTACACGCCCACCGACGAGTACCCTACAAGCCCGCAAGCGCCTAGAATAATTTTCCCAAGTTAGAAACATTCAAATGAAGCAAACCAGTTCAGAAGAGCCACAACTAAAAAAGAAAGAAGAGAACTAACCAGCAGCAGGCTTAAAAGCCAGGTTGGCAATCCCCGTCACGAGGCCGGCACTAAACCCAATGATGCCGTTCTTCTCTGCACCATCAATGGGTTTAGTAGCAAAATCACGGATGCCATCACCAAGGCCGTGGCCAAAGCTTTTTGCGCTCACCAACAGACCGCTCCTTAATCCTGTCACCTCCTCGTATACCCGCACTTCTTCGCCGTACGTCTTGGGCAGATTGTGGAAGCCCCTCGTGACGCTGTGCATGATCAGCGCAGGGCTCTTTAGACTGGTTGTTACGACGCGGCCAAGACCCTTGGCCGTGCCAAGCGCGACTTTGCCGGCGGCATGGGGTATGCGTTTCGAGTCTGACGAAGGTGTAGAAGTGGATTTAGGCTCTTCCTCGGTGGTCTGGGAAGGGGACTCTTTGGCCGAATGCGAGGCGTGGAATAAGGGACTGGCTTGCTTGCCTAGTTCGATAGGGCCCGCGGCGAGACCCAGCATGATGCCACCGACAACGTCGTAGCAGCCGAGTAGGGCGCCAGATATGGGGTCGGTGGGGTCACGCTCCATGGCTGTATCTTTAGTAATGCTTGCATCATCGTTAGCTTGATTCATGTTTCTAGCCAGGGCTTATGGTACTCGACTGACAGCTGGAGCTCTTTGGCCTCTAAAAGTCCTTCTTTGGTTAGTATGGCTGCCGCAAGACTCGAGAGTGCTATGTTCTTCTTCTTCTTAACTAGCCACACTGCGGGCCGGTCGTGCAGTATACTGCATGAGCATACTCCAGCATGGTTCTCTGCTACTACTGGGTCGGCAAGGTGGTAGTAGCGTACGTGCGATGCAGATATTGGATCTACGAGCGGCGTGCCTTCTCCAATAGGTGTGTGGTCGTCGGGAAAACGGCCCTGCTGCACATCATCACTCTGATAATGCGAGTCTAACGGCCGTTGCAGAGATATTTGGGAATCATGGTCTTCATATGTTGGCGAGCCAGTTCTCTGTGTTTGGTGCTCTTCATAAGCTGGGGAAGGAGGTAGTTGTCCTTGGTGGTCCTCGTGTGCCGGCGATAGCGAGCGTTGTGTTGGATGATTCTCGTGCTCTGTGGACTGGTCTTCTACACGCGACTTTGTGTTTCGAATCTCTTCTGCGTCTATTGTGCGTTCTTCGTTTGTCACCAGTGGGGTATACTCTGGTAGACATATGTTGTCGAGGTCGACGCTCTCTCGCGGGGTATATTCAACAACCGATTCTTCGTCGGCCGAATTTTCATGTAGTGAAGCCGGAGCTTCAGTATCTGTGTCAGGACGTTAGATAAGTCCACTAAATTCCCTGCACACTTTTCTATCATACCCGTAAGGTTTGGGGTCTCTTCATGCCCGCTTTCAGGGAGCGTACTTGTTGCTGTCATTTTGGACAACCAAAACAAATGCTAACTACTAAAGGATCGCAAGACGAGGAGATTCAATTAGGACAAACTTCTTGTCAAACTAATAAGACAGCCTTTGTGGTATTGAATGCTCAATTACCACACCAAAATACAGAGGCGTTACAGTCCGAGGCTGACAGCGCTAAACCGCATGGGGATGGCTTTCAAGTTCTGGCGGAAGGCTTGGTACGCCGACGGGTCTGATTCGGTTCCGTCTATGTAATGTGCAACCGGGGGTAAATCTTTGCGTGAAGAAAAAGGCTCATAAGGCGGTATCCGCTATACAATTTCGGAAGAAATACGAGTTCCGTCAACATCGGTCTGAGGCTGTGTAAGGAGTTGTCGTGGCTGTAGCCTAGAGGCCCCGCGCGAGGCTGACGTGGTCATCAGGCTATGTGCGACGTGTCAAGCCAACTTGAAGCCTCATTCGCTCTGGCAAACATCATACAGGCTTTTCAGCAAGAGACAAGTCGTTTATTTTGCCCCCCTGGCCAACAATTGCGGCCTCTACTAATAAATCCAGATAAACGGGTATGTATGGATTGTTCGGGTTCAATTGCATGACCTTTTGAGGTCCGGATCTCCTTTATTCAAGATGGAATACCCCAGAATTGAATCCTACAGACGAAAATCATGAATTAAGCTTAGCTGGGACAATCGTCACTCTGCTCTACAGCCACCTAGAACAACATTCTCATCGTGGATCAATATTGAACCATGTATTGTATGTGTTCCACGACCTGTGATGAGTTCGAAAAAGTATATTAAATGTAAAAAGTATTGTTCAATTTAGAACTGTGTGAGTATCAACCACTCATAGTGCGTGATCCGCTGTCGTTCTTTAAAAGTATATGGCACTTGGAAGTATGCAAAAACAACAGCTTCGCGCCAAAAGTTCACACTTCGGTTTCTGTGCCTTTTCCCACAAGTAGCAAAAAGATACGATGCCTGGCAAAAAAGTAATGAATGGGTCTTACCGCGACTCGAACGCGGGGCCTCTCGCAAGCTGTGCTCGGGAAATCCCTAAGCGAGAATCATACCACTAGACCATAAGACCAAACACGTGATTTTGATGAAGAAATGAAGAATATAATATAATATATTGTCCGTAAAATGTTGATTTTGCGAGCAGCATGAGTGATGTCCATCTGCAAGTGGGGCTGTTCCGAGTTGACTCGAACCTACTTGTCGCACTTGGCGAATACGAATACAACAACGGCACGCCCTACGCTGTCACTATCACGACTAGAACGTTCCAAGTAACGGCATGGGGTAGACAATATCTCGGCTTGATAAGGCTTTTTTATGAGCTAATCACGAATGAAATGTTTTTAATTCTTTTGTTCTCCGGTTGAGTCATCATACCTGGATCTGCCATACACACTACACGCAAGCGAACATGGCTCAGCCGAACGTGAATATTCGCCTCGCCGTCTTCCCAGAAGACAAACAAACTGTGGAACAATTGTTCCTTGCCTATGCAAAATCACTTCCTGTTAGCCTCGATTTCCAAAACTTCGAACATGAGCTGGCAGAATTGCCGGGAAAATATGCAATTGAGAAACGAGGCGCAATATGGTTGGCGTACGCATCATCCAATGTGTCGGAACCAGTATCGTCAACAACATCACTTGGAATGAATGGAAAAACACAGCCCGACGCCAGCTCGACAAGGGATGAAAGGGCGGTTGGGTGCATAGCCATACGGCCATTTTTCACTACGCCGACTACCGCCGAATCCTCAGCTTTGCTAGCGAACTCGACTTCATCAAGCACCACAACGTGCGAACTCAAAAGACTTTTCTTGGCCCCAGAATCGCGAGGGCTTGGTGTGTCGAAGCTCCTGATGGATGTTGCAGTCTCCTATGCGAGGAAATGGGGCTACAAGAATATGTTGCTAGACACGCTGAGGACGATGACGCCTGCGCGGAAATTATACGAGAAGTATGGGTTTGTGGAGATTGAGAGCTATTATGAGAACCCAGAAGACGCTGTTTTCTATCGACTGGCTTTATGAGTAAACCAACATGTAGCTGTTTATTTCACTCCATCAAGCATGGGCGTATGTGGAAAAAGAATAGTGGGGCTCAAAGTGGTTGATGTGTGCCGTAAAGTAATTAAGTTCAGGGGCGTGATCGCGCGTTGGAAATATCGTCATCGATTTCTCGCCTAGCGCGTCTTCCTTTGTCGCAACCCCCATAGACAGCCACCCCGTTCAAAAGGTTGTCGCCATTTATCCCTAACAATAGAATTGGAAGTTACTACATTGCGATACTTCTTTCTTGTTTTTAATTTCTGGCCTGTTGCACGATCTCATCACTCCCTGCCATGAGCGCGATGTCTATATCCCCTTCTACGCCTGCGTCATCACCGCCACCTGCCACTATGGAAAAGGAAAACGTGCCACAATCGATGCAGGAGGAAGAAGAGCGCATGAGGATACAGCGCGAGAAAGAAGACGCGAAACGCGACGCGCAATTAGAGAAGGAGAGAAAGGCAGACATTAAGAGTGGCAAGGAGGTATTGGATAAAAAGTTCCAGCAATTGGAGTTTCTCATGAACAAATCGAAGTTGTATGCGTCAGTGATGCTCCAGCAAATGCAAAAGCAGGAGGAAGAGGAAGAGGCGCAAGACAAGAAGAGTAGAGGCGAGACCTCTGCACGTGAAAGGAACGCGGAGAAGACGGCAGCCGAATCGCAGAGACGAGCCACGCGCAGAAGCACAGCAAACGAAACGGCGACAGCGAATACGGAAGAAGCAGACACGGTACCGAAGAAAGGACGCGGGCGACCCAAGAAACAAGATACCAAAGGTCGAGGAGGACCAAAGAGGCAGCAATCGGACATATCTAGTTACTTCAGTAAAGAAGAGCTGAAGAAAAAGGCAGATACTGCAGAGGCAACAGAAGACGACAAAGACAATGTTAAGACGGGCGATATCGGAATGACGAACCTGAAGTCTGCAAGACAGCCCAAACTCGTCACCGGTGGCACAATGCGATCATACCAGCTGGAGGGGCTCGAGTGGATGGTATCGCTATACAATAACGGTATCAATGGTATTTTGGCTGACGAGATGGGTTTGGGCAAGACTATACAGACAATTTCCATGCTGGCTCATCTTTGGGAAAACAAATCGTATGGTCCTTTTCTTATTGCCGCACCACTCAGTACCACGAGCAATTGGGTTGCGGAATTTGAGAAGTGGACGCCAAGCATGCCGGTCATGCTTTACCACGGCGACAAGAAAGAGCGTGAGAGACTGCGCAGAACTCGATTACGGAACCCCGGCACAGCTGACTTTCCCATCATGGTTACAAGCTATGAAATCTGCATGAACGACCGCAAATACCTTACAAGTTTCGGCTGGCAGTTCATCATCATCGACGAGGGGCACCGCATCAAGAATCTCGATTGCAGGCTGATTCGTGAGCTGCAACAATTTCAATCCGCAAATCGTCTGCTTATTACAGGTACACCGTTACAGAACAACCTGACAGAGCTGTGGTCACTGCTTCATTTCCTTCTACCTACAGTGTTCGACAAACTCTCTACATTTGAGAGCTGGTTCGACTTTTCAGGGTTGAAGGACAAGGCCAGTTTCGAACAGTTGCTATCGGAAGAACGTCAGCAATATTTGGTCAAGTCACTGCATGCAGTGTTGAAGCCTTTCCTGTTGCGTCGCGTCAAGACAGATGTCGAAAGCTTAATGCCCAAGAAGCGCGAGTACGTCTTGTATGCACCATTGACCTCAATGCAACGTGAGCTTTACCAAGCCATTCTTGATGGTACCAGCCGGTCTTATCTTGAGGACAAGGCAGTGGAGAGACTCAGTATCGGTCTCAGTAGTCGAGCGGGGACGCCGTTGAGCATTCGCAGTAACAACGGTAGTAATAAGCGTAAAGCTCTGAGCGACATGGGTACTCATAACAAGAGTGCAAAGACTTCCCGTGCTGGGACACCTTCGTCTGTTGCATCGACCCGAAGCCGAGGTCGACCAAAGAAGAATTATGAAGAGGTCAGCGACCAAAAGTACTTCGCAAACTTGGACAAGCCAGAGTCAGAAGAGGAGAACGACGAAGATCTTAGCTCGGATGCCGAGGACGAGAAGATACGCGCAGCAACATTCGAAATCGCGAAACGTCAACTCATGCAGAAGAAGCTTGGTAATCCCATCATGCAGCTTCGGTTATGTTGTAATTCGCCATACAACTTCTTCAATCCATTCATCAAAGTCGACACGGATGGGGCTGAGACTTTTGCATCAGAGACAGAACCAGATGAGACGCTCGTATCAACCTCGGGCAAGATGCTTCTACTGGATTCCATTCTTCCTGAGCTTATAGCCCGTGGTCACAAAGTTCTCATCTTCTCCCAGTTCACAACAACCCTCGATCTCCTTGGTTACTATTTGAATCTCCGCTCCTGGAACTATTCTCGCATAGATGGTTCTGTAGCACAAACCGACCGGCAGGATCAAATTCTGGCATTCAACAAACCGTCATCTGCCGCAAAAGAAGCAGCCGATATTTTCATATTGTCCACACGTGCAGGCGGCCAAGGCATCAATCTAGCAGCGGCGGATACGGTCATACTTTTTGACAGCGATTGGAACCCGCAACAGGATCTCCAGGCCATGGACCGCGCACATCGTATTGGCCAAACACGCAATGTCATTGTTTACCGCTTTGCGACACGCAACACCGTAGAGCAGAAACTTCTTGAGTCTGCTGAAGCGAAACGTCGTCTGGAAAAGCTCGTCATCCGGAAGGGTGGTGTGCGGAATGATCGAGGTGGAACAAGAAGCTCAGAGAAGGAGCAGGAACTTGAAGAACTCCAGAAGCTTTTAAGGAGAAGTGATGGAGAAAAGTACGATATCAACGAGGCGAGTCACGGTGGAACATTATTGAGCAAAGAAGAGTTGGAAATCTTGTTGGATAGGAGTGATGAGGCATATGAGCGAGCGGAGAAGGGATTGGATGTTGGTGGAGACGGCGCTGTTTTTCAGGCTGTGGGGAAGAGGGAAGAAGGTGCACTCATGGAGGGATTGCGGACGTAATAGATTTAAGTCGATGGAAGAGTTTTTGGAAACGATTCGTGTCATTAAGCGATGCTATACTTTGTAGAATATACCTTGGTCATCAGTTAACTTAGCAGTTACATAATCCTCCACTGTACCTCGATTATCGTGACTGCCTTGTTTATTACTGAGCGCCGGCGATATTGCCACTATAACAGTCAACATTTCTAGATATTGGTTGCCTGCTATTTGGCCACGTGTGTTTTGTCAAAGCTGGTAAAAGCTACTGCAAAACGCCTCATAACAACCCCAAGTGTCCTTTTTTTTCATGGTGCGATCCGTTTAACGCTGAGTATCTATAACCCAAACTAAATCGTCCAAACTAGATTGAAAAAGTACGTAGGCCATGGAGATGATGCATGTACAGCCCAGGAAAACTCTAGGACTGAATGTTTTCTTCTAGTATAGTAGATTAAGAGATGGGTTACCATTTTTAGGCAGTTCAAAATAGGAGCGATAGGGCCACGCTGTACCCGAGGGTAGAAAAGTTCAGAGGTCTTCTCTACAAAAGTCTCTGAAGCTGTGGTCAAGCATAATCTAGTAGTTACCAGCATATGAACTATGTTTGCTCTCACAATTAATCTGAGCAAATTGTCTCGGGAATAAATATGAACATTACAGTATATTCGATGAACAATGTCGAGACGACTTAATTGCATAACATACCGCTGTTGTGTAGTATGAGGGAGCCTACATATGCTACTTTCCCCTGACATCTACATATCAGCCAGTGATTAACAAGATTCAAAGCACTATTTGGTTACTCGAACACACCACTATAGTGAGAACGCGATTATGAGCAGTGGGAACCCAGGCACTCCACCCCAAATTGATCTCCGAAGTAGGTGAAAACGACATCTGACACGTTGTACATGAGTTCCGAACACCTGAGAGTCATCCGTCTAGAATTCTCGGATCTTCTTCTAGGCAATATCACAGTATGTAGTACATAAGACAACCTGAGCCCTACCCCATGAAAACACATCTTTGGGTTGGAATTTGGAGATTTGGCCTCCATGACTTTACTTGTATGTAGAAAAATAGAGCTTCTTTTGGCTGACGATGCCCACCTGTTGTACCACAGAAGGATCTATCGGTAATGCTATCACGACAAGGCTAAACATACCAACATCAATAGACAACGTAGTGTTGGCATAATTCACTGTGAATTACAATACCTTCTTAATTGTTAACTCGCAAGAACGAACATGTCACATCAACATAGGTGAGACTACTATGCCACAAGGAACTATGTGCAAGATGAAGGTAGAAATGGAATTTCGAATTATTTTTGTATTACCTGACAGTTATGAAGACCCAGACATTCGGATCGAAAATCTCCTTTATACAAGTTTATACTGCCACCTTGATCATTACATGCGTGGCCACAAGCTTCCGCTTAGGTAGTAATTCAGTACGTCTAGTAGCTTTGCGGTAGCTGCCTAGCTACGTTGCCCGAGTTTTAGCCAATTTCACTAAGATTTTCGGGCAGCGTTATCAATGTGAAGGTGACGCTCATTATGAGAAGCCCCCAGCCCGCGGCAACGAGACTTTGGTCCACCATGACTCATGATGTGTACTATGCTCTATACCAATGAGCTCTCTCGCCACCACACTGTTGCTTTATCAAGATTTAAGCGCTTCCCAAGGCTGCAAAAGAAAGAAGGGAAGCCATGGGCGTTACAATGTCCCGTGTTGCCCGTTGAATCAAAGGAGAGCTTATCAAATTCGGCAGTCACACCAGAAACAAATTCGCTCTAAAGGAGGGAGTTCTCCACAGTTCACGAGAAACACGAAGGAGCACTTAAGGAAAAATCCCATTGGTAGGTGTTGAGATTGACAAGACCGTCGGCCACATCAGCAAGCGTGAAGCACTAAAATGTGTATGAGCCAATGCCTGACGAGCGATGACAAACATCTGATCGGGGATGGTAACAATACCATCCTGACCAACGCCACTCTTACAAAGCCGAAGCTGCTTGAAATGATTACCAGCCCACTGGCCAAGATTGGAGTTGGCAAAAGAGCAAGGAAAATTCAGACGGAAGCATGGCCTCACCATTAGATCTGATATGCACAGCAAGAGGAACTCAATCACACACCAACTAGTAAGGTTGAGTTAGCTGACTGTGATGGACGAAAGTTATCAAATTGGCCCCCAACATGTTTCGTATCTATTAGATTCGACACGATCCAAATTCAGCTGAGCTTTGCAAACATTACCGATCAAGGATAAGGTTTGGTCTAATCACAGAACAAAATCATACAGCCACATCACTCAATCATGTGTAGCCAGCACATGGTCTGCGCATAGCTATTAGAGAATGTAACGTAATAGCTTGTGCGCAGCCGGTGCAGAGCATATTGTTCAAGAAACGCCATGCAACTAAATCTTGATCAAGTCTCCATCTGCTTGCCCTTTTTCAGATTTGGCACATTATCGGTACGGCATTAGCCCGTCATGATGTCAATGTCAGCACAACTCCTGGAAGCCGAGCCGTGTCCTACGGAGTGTATACGAATGCACGCACAGAGAGCCATGGATGAGGACAATCTTGTCTTCAATCGGTAGTCAGCACTTTTCCCCTTTTCCGCAAATCGAGATGTCTTTACCAAGCGCGGGATTAGTCTTGGCCGATTCTGACCGGTGCAACTGCTCCTCGGCGCCTTCTCAAGCCACATTCACCATGCAATCCTACCTCTCCCCCAGCCATTGCCAATGGTCTGAATGCCACCTACGCAATCCGGTTTCCAAAGCAGAAAAAAAATCGACCCGCTGTCTCATGACCGACGCACCCCAGAAACGGTAAGCAAAATTCTCAAATTGAGATGTGATCAGCACAACAAAACTGAGACGGCTTGTCAGCGCGGGAACTTCCCAAACCCTCTAAACCATTCATAGCCAACACCAAATGGTGCATGGTGTACAACCTATCCTGACAAATAGCGCCACCGCCATTGGCAGCAGACCCTTGCGTTCCCCGCGACCAAACCTCAGATGTAGTACAAAATAGGACAAAAGGGGTCGTAATGCAGATCCTTTCGGGAGCGCGCGTACATGCGTCTGATCCATATTAGGAAGCAACCAGAAACGGACCGACGACCACAATTGGACCAAACCAGATCTCGTAGCACCTCCGTTCTCTTAGTCGCCGGACTCTTCGGCTTAAACCCAATCGCAAATGCTAGACGCTAGATTGCGAACCATGCGTGAGGCTAACCCAACAGGAGAATTTACACCCAAGATTTTACTTGAAGGGTTCTGGGTCGGTATTTGGAATTATATAATAGGTCCTGAGCTGAATTAATAGAAAATATTGCAAAGTGTTCATAACTAGTAGTTTGAAAACTTAAAAGCTGAAGTTTTTTTCGGGGGGGAATGATGAACAAGATGTAGCACGTCACGACGATGTACGTGGTATGCAAAGCTAGGTTACTTCGATCTCCCTAACAACCACCCATACGGAGCACTAGCACACTTGCACTCTACTTACCCCAGATGCCAGCGCATGACCCGCGAGAAGAAGAAAAGCGGCACAAACGACTGGGGGTGGAGTGGCGGTTGGCGGGGGTGGGTATCAGATACTGACTACATACGACACAATACACAACGTACATGGGGCGGGACCCAAACATGTAGATACCTTGCCTTCCACTCCCCAAGTACACAAATCCCACATCCAATAACACGGCGCGGAAATAGTGAAGAGCCACTTGCACACTCCATCGCCACCGGTCCTAACACGAAAGCAAAGACTACTCACGCACCACACGCGTCCCAAGCCCATCGACCAAGCTAGCACTAAAGCACCATACCTCCGCCAAACTAGCTAACACTCTACGTAACTTCCCTCTAGCCCCCTCCAGACGCAATCTACAAACACACACCAGTCTATACCCAAGCCCCCCTCATCTACCCCAAACCGTGACTTTCACCCTAGCCACCGTAAACATCCAGAGCCACCCAACCTATCCCCATACCTCTCTAGCACCCACGCAACCAAAACATTCACTCTAGTCCGTTCACGTCCCAAGGACCCCATCGGCGCCACTACATGACCCTGCCGCTGCCGGAGTCTATCCACTATCCACTATCCTTCAAACTTACAAGGCGTTAAAAAAAATCTATTTGGGGGAGAAGATGAACGGCGGGGGCGCGGTTACCAACGCCGGGGGTTAGAATATCAAAAGTGATTATTATCGAGCGGGAAAAAAAAGCGTCTAAACTAGATAGTTAGCGCGGGAAATTGCTACCGGGGTTTTTTCTTGAAACCGAGGTGTACAAAGAGGAAAGATCAGAGGCGAAAGTATCCAGGCAGGCGGGAGAGGAGGGGTATATAGAGGGGTGAGTGATGGAAGCATGGTGGTGCTGACTCTAATACTTCTTATTTTAATTTCTTGATTTGTTCGATATCTTCATGTATAAGGCATTTATATTTCCACCATGTATTTTCTAAATGTGAAAATCGCACTCGTCGCTGCGGCGACTGCGTCGTTAACAGCGGCATGGCCAACCGCTATACTAGATGCTGCGGGCCACGATCCCGAAGTGCTGAAGCGCGCAGAGCAAGAGGTCGCAAAGGCGATGCAAGCAAGACAAGGAAGTGCAAGCGCCGCTACATCTGTGTTCGAGCCTATCCCCATCTTCGACGCAAAAGCACAGTACATCGATGTCAGCGCGGGGAGCGGCCATGAATACGTGCCTCCGGGCCCAGGCGACCTTCGGGGTCCCTGTCCCGGGCTGAATGCTCTGGCAAACCACGTACGTCTATCCCCCCCTTCCCTAAAAAAAAAACAAGAGCATTGCAACATACTTTTCAGACGAGCAAAAAAACAACTCAATAACTTTTTTCTGTACAGAACTTCCTACCGCATAATGGCTACGCCACCGTAACGCAATACGTCGAGGCGACCACAAAAGTCGTTGGCATGGGTCCGACACTCGCGCTCCTCCTCTCTGCCGTCGGCGGCTCCCTCAGCGGCGATATCCTCAACTGGTCCATGGGCGGCAAGCCTTCGCTTGCACAAGCTGGACTCACTGGTATCCTGGGCAACGGACTCACGGGCTCGCACAACAAGTACGAGACGGACGGGTCGCCCACGCGGGGGGATCTGTATCAAACCGGGAACAATTTCAAGACGGTGCCCGCGCAGTTCCAGCAGCTGGTTGATGCGTCGCCTGGCGGCTTTGTCACGCTCGAGAGCCTGACTGCATTTCGCAGCGCGAGAGTGGATGCGCAGCGGAAATCTAATCCGTATTATTTCAGTGGCCCGTTTGCGGGCGTGCTGGTGCAGCCGGCGGCGTACACGTTTATTTTTCGCTTCATGGCAAATCACTCCGCGGAGAACCCAGAGGGGATTCTGCCGTATGATGTGCTGCAGTCGTGGTTTGGCATTCAGGGGTCGAGCGGCAAGTATACTGCTGTGCAGGGCGGGGAGCGCATTCCGAATAATTGGGTGAGTTTTGTTCGTTTGTGTGGTTGGAGAGTGTATGTGCTAATGGGGTGTTTCCTTTGCTAGTACCGTCGTCCAATAGCGTATCCATACGACACGCCCTACTTTCTTGCGGATACGTTGAATGCGGCTGCTTTGTACCCCAAGTTTCTTGAGGTCGGCGGGTACGTTGGTCCCTTGCTCCTTCTCTTCCAACATTTACACTAACTCGTTCTAGAAATACCGGCCAACCCGACTCTTTCGTTGGTGTCGACGTATCAAGCCTGACAGGCGGTATTTTCAGCTCTGCCAATCTCCTCAAGGGAAACAACCTGGCTTGCTTCGTCTATCAGATTTCCGCGCTGGCAAAGCCCGATATTCTTCTTGGCGTACTCACTACACTTCTCGACATTGTAAACAATGCGGTTGCTGCTCTGAGCTGTCCACAGTTGAAGAATTTTGACCAGAGCGTGCTTAAACAGTTCCCTGGCTACAGCAGGCAGAGTGTGTATGGATAGACTGAAATGTCTTGAACTTGTAATGATTCACATGATTGTCGAGCGGGAAGATTGGAAATCTCACACATTTAAAGAAATAGAAATGCACTCAAAAATAACAAAGCAACTCTAAAATCAAATCATTCAAACTGATACTTCTTACCACATAATCGTTATACTACACAAGACTCGTACGATATGCATGCATAGGCACTGATTCAAACAAATATGTAACGAGACCGTCCCAGACCCGACTCTCATAAGTGAGTCAGGCACAAATGAAGACAGATGTCGATATTCCTCTTCCAACGTTCCGTTAAGAGTGCACCGTATCAAGTCACGGGACTCCTGCAGGCTCAAGGCCTGCATCGTTGGTGTGTAGTGCATCACGATTTCAGTCAATGACTGCTTTGAGACTCAGGGCTGAGACAAGAAGATCAGGGTTAACAAGGCAAAAGGGTTGAACATGGAATGCTGCCATGGTGCAAGTATCGTCAGTACCGAGCCTTCGACATGTGCAACTTACTGCGGCGAGTTCATGACCTCGTATAAATATCCTGTTTCATTCGTGGGTTACACCCACACAGATAGGCTCGTTGGTGCTGCCACCACCTACCGTTGTCTCCTTTTTTTCACAACGCCATATTCGTACTTTCTACAAAGTAGTAGTAAAGTGGTACCCATACGCCTTGCTAACAGCAAACCAAAGCTCGAACTCTCCCACGTTCTCTCATCATCATGGTAGTTCGTCTAGTCATAGTGCATAAAGAGCTGGCTCATACTCTCTCCGTGGTGGTTTCGCCTAATTGCTTCCGCTAGCAGGTTATCAACTTTGATAATGTCTAGCTTGTCTTGACTAGCCTGAGCGAGCTTGTGTTCGGGAATCGGAAACGCATTAGTGATGACAATCTTGTCAATGACATCACAGTGGCTCATCTCTTGAAGACAGTCACCGCCAAAGATGCCATGCGTGGCAAAGCAGTACACCTTGGTTGCGCCACCGCGCTTGACAACAGTCTCAGCGGCCGCAATCCACGATGCAGACTTGTCCATCATGTCGTCGACAATGAAGACGGGACGATCTTTGACGTTGCCGACAAGAGTCACCATGGTCTCGAGTTCGGGATTCTTGAGGTCTTCTTCTTCGTCTTCAGACGAGGCAGCAGCGTCATAGGTTCCGCCTAGAGCGTGTGAATGCTCGGTCTCTCTGTTACGACTAGACGAGGCATTCGAGACGAACGAGGACATCATGTGATTGGGTATGTCGTCATCGCCTTCCGACGGGGGACGATTGCGCCAGGTGCTATGCGAGGTTGCGGACATGGATGGCGAAGGATGAGTGTCATCAACAATATGGCCTTGGACGAGACGTCCATGGATGACATTTCGTGCGCGCTGTGATGGTTAGAAAGATGGCACAAGTCTTTGGCATGGACAAACCTCATCAGTGTACTCCTCCTCATCGGCACCACTCTCGTCTACATCCTGCTCCTTGGACGCTTCCTGTTCTTGGTTCTCTGCATCAGTTCGAATGGGCTCTAGTGGGACTTCAGGTTCGATAATAGAGCCCGCACGCATCGACTTGGACAGTGGATGGCTTCCTGCAGACTCTGAGCCCGCATGAGCTCGCCGTACAAGTGGGTTTGTGGGGGTGCGTCTGAGGCTCGATTTGCCCGGTTCCGCTTTTGGATCGATTGTGATGTTGCTAATCGGTGTGACATCGGCGTCTGTATCCAGCGCAGTTCGCACCAAACCTGGCGTCTCGTACGCACCATCCAATCGAAGTTGCTCAAACATGGCGCTTTCGTTCCAGTGCACCGCGGTGCCCGCCCTACGCCTGTCGGTTGTCACAATGCCGAAACTGAGTTTCAACGCGTCAGCTAGCGATGTGACACGCTTTGTGCCACCCGGGTTCTTGCTGACAACCACAGCCTCCCTCCAATTGGGCACGTTGACGCGAATCCAGCGCGCGATGAGGGGTTCGGCGACGAGGTTGTCAACGGGGCACTTGAAGAAGCCCTGCATCTGCGAAGCGTGCAGGTCAATTGTCATGACATGGCTGACGCCGGCAATGTGCAAAAGGTTTGCGACCATGCGCGCAGTGATGGCACCGCGGTGCTGCTTCTTCTTGGACTGACGCGAGTAGGGAAAGTAGGGCATGACGGCTACAGCTGTTAGTAGCTAGCATTGAGCTCATCGAGGCGCGCGGTACCTGTGACCGACTTGGCAGAGCCGCCTTTGCAGGCCGAGATCATAATCAGCAGCTCCATCACCGAGTCGTTGATTCTGACCCATTAGCCAATTGGCGCACGACGGGGCTGGGCTACGCACTTCTCGCTCCCACTCTGGACGATGAAGACATCTTTGTTCCGGATCGAAGTATCTGCAGGACTTAGCGCGTGTGTATAGGACGAGAGGGCGAGGGCGAGGGCGAGGTGAGCGTACGAATGGTGACGGAAGTTTCTCCATTTTTGAATTTACCCAGGGTTGCGGAGCCAGGCTTCATGCCCAGGCGGTCGCAAATGCCCTCGACAAGCCTGGGGTGCGAGGTGCCGCCAAAGACGATAGCGCCCCTCATGGTGGGCGGTCCTAGGAGAGTGACGTTCTCGTAGTGGGCAAATTGTGGTGAAGGCCGATGAGGCCTGGCAAAATTGCTCGACATTCTACTAGCTGAGCTATCGGCACGTCGGGGGTTGGTCTTGCCCCACTATCCGCTCGATAGGGCAACGACTAGTCGGCAGCCAGTGACTGCCCGCACCTGACTCGCAAACACCAAGAGCGACGTGCACACACACCAAGAAGCGACGCAATAGGAATTTGGGTGGCAAGTACAGCTCCAAGAGGCAATCTTGACCTGCAAGGAATTGTCAGAATGCACACGGTGAGCTGGCGGGGCTGCTGCTCCTTCTTTATGCACATGGCTGCACTACCCAAACGTCTTACAAGCAGCTGCTGAGCTGGCACGCGATCACAGAGTCGCTTCGTCTGGCCAGTCAGGGCCCTTAAGTAGACCACGATGCGCCTCTGTACCTGCGGAGCCTCTCGAGTCCCCGCCTTTCACATTGCCATGTAGCCCGTCTGGTCTGCCTTTTATATCCATTGCTCGAATTCGGCAATCGCAGCCACGCGAAGACTTGTTCGGTTACACAAGTTCACCGCTTACTTCTGTACTCCCTCAACGGACTCGATGGTAAAAGTTGCCCAAGCTACATACATGGCGGTCCACAGCGAAAGCCACGCTATTGGTGGCTCTGATGTGATGGAGTCATATCAGTCGAGCTTCATGGCCGGTTGCAGTATCAACGCACCACGGACACGGGATTTGACTTTGTTCTGTCATACTAGCTGACCTGTTTGAGGTCAGGTGGCCCAAAGCAGCCAGTGGCCTGGACGAACATTGGCATTTGTCTTGGAATAAGGAAGCACAAATACATGTTGGCGTGGGTCCGTCAATGTGCTCTGTACATCAGTCGAGGTCCTGTAGGCGTCGACAACGACTCGGCGGTGAAGTGGTGGTGGCATGGCAGGCAGGCAGCTTGACAGCCAAACCGGCAATACGATCAGCTCCATGCCAAAAGAATTGTCGAGCTACTTGAGTGGTGTGCAGTGATGTGGGGGGGATAGGCTCCCCGGTGCAACCATGGGGTGTGCTCAAAAGAGAAGCAATGGTGCTCCACAGGGTAGGCGGATTGATGATGGACATGGTCGGCCTCTGTCTTGCGGGCTGAACGGTGTGATGGTGTTGACGAGGCTGTGCCAAAACAGCCCGATTGGCTGCCGGGGCTGCAAAAGGAGCGGACACTAGTAGAGGCCATCTGGTCCCGAACACCAGGTCTGGCGGCGCGATCTGGCTGTGCGTGGAGCTATGGTGAAGTGACAGAAAACGGCGTGCACGACAGCAACGCTTGGGGCTACGAGGGGCCGGCAAAAGTTCGGCTTGCCAGGGAAGGCAGTTTTCCAAGAGCCTGGTCCGGGGTCGGCGGGCAGGTTGAGAGCGGATGGGACGCAGTACGCGGTGATGTTTGCGCGCGACTGCTTTGCGACTGTCGAGCGATGGAGACGAGCGATGGGGCTAGCCCAAAAGACAAGTGGCCATCATCGGGTTGCACGATCTGGCATCGTGGCACCGGGCGTCAGGGTCAGCCCGATACAGACGGTGCAGGGCACGAAGGTGAGGGCAAGACCAAGATGGACGACCATGGTGGGGGGGGACGTGTTGGCCAACAGTGCCATGGTGGAGCAGTGCAGGGCCAGCTGCAGGGGGCCGATGAGTCGGAGGGCGTCCGGGGCTGACTGGGTGGATGGGTGGATGGGTGGAAGTGTCGGTGGGTTGCTTTTGGCGGGCGTCATTAGTCCGGGCGTGGATGGAGAGTTTGTTGTGGACAGCACTGAGCAGGCAAGGTGTTTACGGGCCTGGTCTGTGGTGGAGAGGAAACGGGCCGGGGGAGAGGGACGCCCATGCATAGCGACGGTTTCGGCAATCGTGTCTGGGCCGCCCGGCAGCCCATGCGGCTCCTAAGCAGCGCATGTGGCCAGCCAGGATGGGATGGGATGGAAGGGCCAGTGTGAGTGGGCGCACGCCAGCAGCCAGCGAAAAAGGAAACGCACCCAGGAGCCAATGCCGCGCCCAGCCTAGCACGCACTGCAACTGGCACTCGGTCGCGCACGCCGTGGCTGCGTACTTACTGAGCCTGTCCAAACGTCTGCTTGTGGACGAGGGCGCATATGCCATCATCACAACGCGGGCGCCGAGCACGGTTGGCCGTGACACACTGGCTGCACCAGCGCTGCCTCTCGATCCCTCGCCGAACTATGCCATTGCGCCCTGCCCTGCCATGCACTCTCGGGCCTGCTGCGGCCTCTACACGGCATGCTCGCCGCGGATGCGGCTGCGGGACTGGCAGCCTGTCGTGGTGGACAGAGCCATCCCGGACCATCAGACCACGAGCGAGGCGACCAGGGCACACACCCAGAGACAGAGAGCGAGAGCGAGGTGAGTAGGTAGAGCGGCTGGCCCACTCCCTCGTGGCACCATCAGGACCATCTTTGGCCTCATCGGTCCGGCACCCATCCGCCTTTGGATCTCGACACTCGACAAAGGCACCACGGCCAGACGGCTGCACGGCTGCGCGCTGCTGCTGCTTGTTGTTGTACACACCCACTTGCACTCGGCCTGAGTGGCCGTCGAATGGCTTGCACTGTAGCCAAAGTTTATTCTCCGCTTCTCCCCCCAAGCCTTTGACTGAAGGCTCAAAGTATAAGACGGCCCAAGATCCGCGTCGTTAGCGTCTGCAGTCTGGCAACAAGCAAGCCCTGGAGTCGTTCCTTCTCCAGCAACCATCCAAACACTGCAACTGCCTCTTTTGCTTCTCCTGCCTCTTCCGTCTCCGCTCGCTCCTTCCTTGTCCTCGTCCTCACCCTCGTCCTCTTCCACCTCCCCCTCCCCCTCCCCCTCCACATCCTTCTCCTCCACATTGACGTTTGTTTTGTCAGCCACGATCAAGCCGGTCCTAAACACCCTCGCTCTCAACCTTCCCCCTACCCTCCCCTACCTTGACTTCGTTTCCTCCTCGGCCCCTGCAGTGTCGCCGCCACTATTCACGTCAGTACTCACTCAACCTCAATTGCTATATCTACTCTTGCCATCCCCCACCCCCATCTCACCCACCACCTCCTTTACTCACACACACTCACTCACTCCATCTTTCTCTCTCTCTCTCTCAACTCCCACTCACACATATCCACAGTCGTTCCCGCCCAATTGCCATTGTTTGTCCACCCGTCTTCCCCTCCATCTTTGCAATGGCCCGTCCAAGCTGCTCCCACAGCTTCAAATTGATCAAGTCCGACACCACTCTCGTCGTTTGGACCTGCAACTTGTGCCACAGCGGGCCCTTCACGTCCATCTACCAATGCGATCAGTGCAAGCTCAAGACGTGCCAGCCCTGTGCCTCCAAAGCATGAGCGAGTAAGTCCCTCATACCTCCCACACACCCCAGTCGCCCCTCCATGCACCACAAATGGCATCTTGCATCACCACACATGCGAGCTGTGCCAAGTGTCGGTCAAAAAAATCCACTCTGGCTGACGCTGACTCGCTGCCGTGTAGATGGAATGCATGGATCGCCAACTACGATCCAGCCCACCCGAGATCCCGGTAACCAGATATGTACCTAGACGCACGCGACACGGCCCAATACCCTTCGCTCTCCGCTTGGCAACATGCCCACTCCCATTCCCGAACCATCATATCACCTGGATTTCCTATCACGCCTTGCTTGTCCCCCGTCTCCATCACGTGGCCTTCTTCTTCTCCATCTCTTAGCATGGCGTTTTGGGCGGCCCCCTCCGATCCAATCATTTGATGCCAAAAAAAGCAATCACCTTACGACAATGGCACGTTTTTTTTCCGCTCGGAACAGGCTTCCGCGCTTGCTTTACAAAAAGGAAGGGGGGTACCCGCTTCTGGCCGTTTCAGATGGGACCAGGCTCCTGTCTGGCAAATGCCGCTTTCCCCTGTTCTACCATTCCTACATGGTCTCTTTCTTCAATCACATTACGGTCGCCGAGCCCACGTGGTCCCCAGTTTTTTTTCTCTCTTGTGTTTTGACCCTACAACGACTGGTGCAAACCATTACGCCTTAATGCTTTTCAATTTCCTTTCAGCTCATCATCTGGTATAATTACATGGGGGGTTTTTTGTTTTTGATTACTATACACAATTGTCGACTTGAGCTATCTGTACATTTAGACGCCCTTGGGTGGAGATTCTGTTTCACATACCCACGAGGGCGCACGTCTTGGCAGCTGTAATAGACAATAATCCAACACACTGATTTCATCTCAACGACTCGCCTCCCGGTTGATTTCTGTAGCCGCTGCATGGCTAAGGATGGTGACTTACCTCGTGCAAGAACTAGCTCGCTCAGGTTTCAGGACTAGGGTGTGCACGCAGGTACATGGCTTGCACGAGCTGAGACGCGCATCCTCGATGCTCGAGGCGAGGCGAGGCATTTGAGCTTCGATATTCCTTCTTCAAAGGGTTCTGTGCATAACTTGGTTCCCAAGGCAGATCTGCAAGGCCGAATGAGGCACAAATCGCGAGCCGCTCTCGCGTGTCTCAGCTAAACTGCTGCACCTGCACCGCAGCGGACCGTGACGAACACCTATTTAGTCGCTGCTGGCGTGTCTTTGAATGCAGTTTGGACAAAGTCACGACTCCTACTATTTTATGCCGGTCCTGCGATTTCCCAAAGCACAATCCATCCGACATGATTAGAGCACACACACACACACACAAGCATCTTTATCTCCATGCTTGCACCGAGAGACTAGTACGAGAATCAGGTTTACCTTGCGTATGCGTGTAACATGTACGCAACAGGTAACCGTTTCCAGCTTCAACAATAAAGAAGCCTCCGCCAAAAGCGCGATCCTAAGGCGGATAACCGGCAGATAAGTAAGGTTATTGGTCAGAGCTGTGGCTGTCCAAGGTTAGTAGCATACACAACAAACCGATGGCTACTACCCCTCTCGCCTACGGCCCTTCACCCACCCGCTTTTCAGCCCAGTCTCGGCCCGCTATATACAACTTGTGTGCATCCGTACTACGGCAACATCAGCCGGCAAAAAAAACCTTTCCGCATTCCACATTTCATACAACTGTAGTCACTACCATTGCGTCACGTGTTTTCAAACGGCGCCTCTTTCGGAATTTCTCTCTTATTCGCTCATGTTTTCTGGTCGTCCATCATCCTCTGCAGGGCTGTTACCTTGCGCTATAAGCGCTAAACCTCCAGCTGCTATCGTATGCAAGCATAGCTCCACAGCAGGTACTCTTTCAATAGGCTCCCACCAAATCTCTGTTCTCCGGACACAACACCGTGCACCGTTCGCCTGCATTGGTGCCACTTAGACAGTGTGATCCAGCCGCACAAAGCAGTCAGCAGCCACGTATGACACTTTTGGCCCCCATCTTCATCCCACATATATATATGCTGTCCCTCAAATCAGCCTTACAGCCTTTTCATCCCATTCTCTAGTTGTTTCGTTTCTATTTGCAATTGAGCCAGCTATTATACAGAGCAAAGGGCAAGCATGGGCTCGGATAGCGGCGATGACACGCAAACCGGCGTACCTCAGGCAGCAATTGACGAGTTCTGGGATAGCCTCATCACTAAGAAACCAGCCAAAGTCACCAAGATATTCCCGCAAAGTCTGTATGCCAATCTTCTCCCTCCCCATAATCCAATTGGAAAAGTCACGGGCAAAAATGCAGCTGAATCGTACCGGGCCGCTGCAGCAGAGTGCTCTGCTCGCGTCAAACGCATCGTGAAAGAATGTATCCGAACGAATGAGAAATTCACGGACCCGGACTTCGATATCAGTAATCTATCTGATGGAAATTGCCTCGAAGGACTCATGCACTGGTATAATGAAAACAATGAAAAGTCACCTGCAGTCAGCGCATCGCAGCTAGGCAGAGCCCTCTCCACCCTTGTTGAAAGTGGCGTCTTCATGGGGGACGGTGCACCATTCGACTTCAACACTACTGCCAAGATATTGACTCAGAAATCGAACCGGAGCTCAGACGGTCCAAAATCGGTGCATCGTATTGATTGGATCTTTGACAAGCCAGAATTTGTCATTGATGGCTTCTCCAGCTCCGATCTCAAACAGGGCTCGAGCGGCGACTGCTGGTTCATTGCTGCTGCCTCGACAATCTGCGCAAACCCTTCGTTGATGAACAAAGTCTGTGTTGCGAGAGACGAAGAGTGTGGTGTCTATGGCTTTGTTTTTTATAGAGACGGCGAGTGGGTCTGGACCGTAGTTGATGACAACCTTTACCTCAACATCGCTGACTTTGACGCCCAATGGGGTGATCGATACGATCCGACCAATGCGCGAGAGATCAAGTACAAAAAGAACTATCAGACTGGATCCGAGGCACTCTATTTTGCCTCTTGCGCTGACGAGAACGAAACCTGGCTCCCGCTTTTGGAGAAAGCGTACGCTAAAAGTAAGAACCTCCCTACACGATTGGACCCTACGCACTGTTGCACATATCCGCTGCACAGCTGACAGAATAACAGTACATGGTGATTACGGTGCCATTGCTGGTGGATGGAGCGGTGAAGCCGTCGAAGACTTGACTGGCGGTGTCACGACCAAGATCCTGACGAATCGTGTATTAAGAAAAGAGAAGCTTTGGGAAGAACTACTCAAAGTTGGCAAGGATTTCTTGTTTTCAGCTTCATCACCAAGCTCATATGGCGACGACTCGGATGCGCTAAAGGGTCTTGCCCTCAGCCATGCTTATTCCGTCTTGAAGGCTGTAGACGAAAAAGACGAAAACGGCAAAAAGTACCGATTAGTATTGATACGCAACCCGTGGGGTAGTAGGCAGAATGCAAGTATAGGCGAATGGACGGGACCGTGGAGCGACGGCTCGAGAGAGTGGACACCGTACTGGCTCGAGAAGCTAGGCCACAAGTTTGGAGATGACGGACTCTTCTGGATGTCCTACGACGATTTGCTCAAGCGATTTGATTTGCTTGATCGCACTCGCCTGTTCAACGAAGAATGGACCGTCGTGCAGCGGTGGACCAGTGTTTCGGTGGCATGGGTCACTGGCTACCTAAACATGAAATTCTCGGTTGAAATTAAGAAAGCTGGCCCGACTGTTTTCGTACTCTGCCAGGTAAGTACCACCTCTTATCCCGCTCCTCAGGTACTAATGATAGTAGTTGGACGAGCGCTATTTCAGGGGGTTAGAGGGCAAATACAGCTTTGACCTGCATTTCATCTTGCAAGAGAAGAATGCTGCAGTTGGCGACCACCTAGTCCGCGCCCGCGGTCCTTGGTTTGGGAACCGCAGCATATCTGCCGAAGTCGACCTCGAACCCGGTGTGTACGAAGTTGTGCCCAAGATTGTTGCCACGCGAGACCCGGAAGAACCCGAAGTCTTGGATGTCGTGAAGAAGCTGGCCGAACGCAACCCGCAGAAGCTCCGACAAATTGGACTAAACTACGACATTGCAAATGCAAAGGGTGTGTTCGAGCTTCCTGAAGAGGATAAGAAGAAGAAAGAGCAGGAGAAGAAGGAGGCAGCAGAAAAGAAGGCAAAAGAAAAAGAGGCCGAAGAGAAGGAAAAGGAAGAATTCGAAGCCTGGAAGAAGGAGCAGAAAGCGGACTATGAGGCTTGGAAGAAGAGGAAGGAGCAGAAGGCCAAGAAGGAAACAAAGGAGCAAGCCTCCGAATCCAAAGAAGATGTCAAAGATAGCAAGACTCAGACGGAACAAGGTGATGTCCCGAAAGATCCCGTTGCCGATACAGAGGACAAAAAGGACGGCACACCTCCTTCCGCTTCTGAAGGAAACAACACCGATGAGACCGCAGGTCTGCCACCCAAAACCACAGACTCGGAACCGAAATCTCTCACCGCCGACACTCCCACTGCCGCCCCCGAAAGCACCACCACCGAAGACGCTAACGAACCCACACCTCCATCCGACACCCCCAGCAACTCCACCTCGTTAGACCCAACACCCCACCCTGACGCCTCCACATCAGCATCTGCGTCACAACCTCCCCCAGCACCAGCAGACGTAGCAGCACCAGAGCAGCACCTCCCGCCACCATCACCAGCGCCACATACCTCATCCTCGCGCCCCGCAGTCGACGACGACGACGACGACGACGACGCCCCATTCCAAGGCAACGCCCCAATCTACGGCAACAACGCTCCAGTCTACGGCGACACCCCCGTGCCCCCTCCCCCTCCCCCCGAGCTCCCCAAACCCGACAACGAACTCAAACCCTGGAACGCAGTCTGCGTTCTCGGTCTCAGAGTCTACACTCTAGACGCCGAGGTAAGTATCAAGCTTGTCAAGCCGCAGAGCGTCGAGGAGGCGTCGATCCTAGATGTGGATGGCGGCACGCAGGCTGGAGCTACAATGTGAGAGTGGGGGTGTGGGTAGTAGCAGGCAAACAGCAAGAGCAAAAGGGTTAGATTCTCAAACTAGCCGATCTAGTGTAGCCACTGTGAGATCCGAGTGCGAGGGCCATTTGAACCGGTGGGACGGTAAAGGGCAAAAGGAACATGATGGTCGGGGTTTTTTTTCTCTTTTCCTTTGTTTTCTGCTAATCTGTTGAATGGATGGGGATGTGGGTGGGGAGGGGGACGGATATGAGGGGCGAGGACTTGAGCAAATTTCTTTCCTTCTTTCTCTCGTTCTTTTTGTTTGCTATGTGAGAGGGTTTTTTGGCCAACAGGATGTAGGTTCATGATTTTATGATGAGATGAATGACTTGGGGCGTATTGGAGGTGGCGTCGACGTTGTTATGATCGAGATTGATCTGGGCCGATTGGATTGGCAGGCCGGTTCTCTCTCCTTTTTTTCTCCTGCTAACCCATATTCTACTTGCTCGGAGAGATACTCCGCTCTCCACAATATCGTGTCGAAAACAAAAGGAATTTAGGTTTATTCATCACTCAGAAAGCTTCTACAATACCATGCTACTACACTAAATTTTGTATCCCTCGCACAATAATGATAATTGAATCGTACTTGCTTCACCTCACTCCCTGTCCAGCATCACCTACTGGGCCTCCGTGACACCATGCAGAGCAATCTGCGCCCTGATAGACGATCCATTACCCACGTTGAAGTTGTCCTGCAGGACCATGCCCTCAGCAGTTAGCACGTCTCTAAATGCAACCTGTGCACTGCCAACCTCCGCAGTCTTGTTCAGTAGCGAAAGCTGGAAGCCAGCCGGGTTAGCCAGCATATCAGTGGTAATGGGAATAGTGAACGCCTGGTCAAAGGAAGGATTGAAGATATCGGTTCCAGGCGAGTACGACTTTGCTGCTGTTTGGAACGTCTTGTCACCCCAGGTGACCTTGACGCTGGGGTTGAGCTCGTCACGGTGGCCATGGAGTTCCTGGACACCAGCAATGAGAACGGTAGCGACACCGCAGATTTGGCCTTGGCCCTGGCTTTGAACGCCTGGAGAGGACAGTACTTGTGGGTCGTTGACAAGGTGGAAGAACTTGGCTTGGATCACGAGCCTGCCTGGAGACTCTTGGCCCTTTTTCGTGAGAACGAGTTCTTGTGTACCACCCTTGAGGAGGATTTCCTTGATCGTCGTAGATCCGAGTCCCATGTCGTCATCACCAACCATATCTTCGTCTTGGATGTCTACAGTGATGTCCTGCTCAAAGTCTGTGACTAGGAAGTCGTGGGACTCGTTCCATTGCGGCTCACGATTGTTATCCACGGTCGAAGTCTTCCATTCCCCTTCCGCACCAACCTTGACCTTGACGTAGCAGTCTGGTACGTCTTCGAGCTTGACTTTTGCCATCAGCTTCTTAAGCCCGCTTTTCTTTTCGCCGTGTTTGGGTACGTCGATTCCAGTCGCCTTGCCAACGGTCACACGGACGACTCCGTAGTGCGGCTGGAAGGCCTTGAAGTAGTCGGTATTGGGATCCAGCTTGACTAGGAAGCGGTTCGGGAGCACTGCCATTGAATCAATGACACCAAGAATAGTCTTGCGGACAGTGCTGTCGATAACAGAAAAGTCGGCAATGTTTGCAGCGTCTGTGAAGTCCAGCTTCAGGGTTGGTGTGTTGAGGAAGGCAATTTGAACGGCCCCGATCTATGTTCAAGTTAGAATACGCTTTGGGTATTGGCTAACTAGATACACGACTTACCAGAGGAATGACATTTGTCAATGGGCACAGCAAGACGCTGATACGACCTTTCATATGAACTCGCTCAACACCCTAAACATCACGTTAGTGATACTCCTGGCCTGCAGTCGATCCACACAAGACATACCACTTTTGGAACCAGTTTACCATCAAGCTCAAAGTCACACACACCCTCCCAGTTCATATCCATGTCAAGCTTGATTCCTCCGGCCGAAGTCTTGTGAACATCAACATTTGAGAAACCAATTGGAACATGGCCGAAATCAATCTTGACGAAGCGCAGGTTGGCCAGCGGACCAGGAAGTGTGGTAGCAAGAATTGGCTCAACCGTGTCTTTGATGATGTTGGAGCCAGCTACACAGATGTTGGGCCATAGATTCTTGATGATGTCGTTGAGGAAGCCTGGTTGACGCGTGTTAGCAACTTGTAAAATGGGGTTTGTTGATAACAGTTCCTGTCACATGTGTGGAGTAGATGAGGGGTAGGAAAGCTGTATAGTGGGACCAGGGTATTGGATGCTTCATTGTGTATCTCGTACCTGCGGGCTCAGCCCCTCCAGAGGCAGTCAGATGCTCGACAAGCGACGCGGGTGCCTGGTTCGCCATGATGTGGTGTCAATTCGTCTCTCCCGAGCTTTAGAGGGTGTTAAGGTGATCAACAGTAAGCTCAAAACAGCCGGGATCGAGTTGATATCTTTGTGGTTGTAGTAATAGGAAGAAGAGTCTGAGAAAGGGAGAGAGATGGGGAAGTGGTCAACAAGAGTACAATTGGTAGCAAAAGTACCCAGCCAGTTCAGAGCTACACGCAGCACCACGTGTTCGAGCCTGTTTGTTTGCCTCCATTCTTGGAACTTACTACTTGACGTCACGTCACATTGTCTAAAACGCGCCTGTGCTGCAGCTTGACGATGTCAACCATGCAAACCCCGCTGTGGCAGGTGGAAGCCACAGCTGCTGAAAGCCACACTCAGTCACGTGCTTCAGCCCACTCCCAACTTCCCTTGCGCTTATGCCATCATGGTCCCTGAATTCCGCTGCTACATACATTTGTTTTTCTTTTCTCGATATATCGGTTCCACCTGCCCAGATCTGTCACATCATCCCAGTCATCTCGAGACGCAAGCATCAAACACCACATATTTAGGCCACCCCAACGCCACAACCCATCCTTTTCGTAATCCTACAACAAGCCCCGGGAACCCCTTGTACCTTCCCGATCGCCCAATCGATACAGATAACATGGCTGACCGTGCGCCGCTCGTAGGTAGCAGCCATGCGTCGTTTGCTCGCTAATCTGATCTTAAAAGCAACGCATATACCCCAGGCTCGCATCGGTTACCCCGAACCATCATCCTTGTGGCTTGACTTTTCTTGTTAAACTCCCTGCCATGCATTAGCGATATGTGCATAATGAACCCGTTGCTTTTTCTCTTTCGTCTTTGTCTAGAGCGTATCCATGTCCCAAAAGTTACCGTATCGAGGTACGCAGGGAATCGGGACGCTCAGACGGGCGTTCAGGTCGACCACGTTGTGGCGAGGTGGCGTTGTCCATGGGTCCGTGGATTTCCTTTTATGGGCCCACATCCCTCTCATGGAGCCATGCACCATGTACCATGTACTTGCTGTTACATGGGAGAGATGCTGGATCAATCCCAGCAGAAAGACCTGGCGGGTCTCGATCGTGGACCCATGGATCGTACTTTTAGCGGTGCGATACGCGAAGTGAGATTAGCGACAAAGAGAGGATGGATACATGGAGAGCGTGTTGCATATACAGGGATGAGCATTTCTTGGCAAAAGATGTGTAATTACGGACTATCCATTCAGCAGCATTAACCCAGAGAACTTCTTTTTACTTTCAAGTAAAGTACTCCGCACACAGACCTCCTCTCTATGGTGGCAAAGGCTTACCATTCGGCGTAGTACCATCACACGGCGTCTTCAACTTACTCACCTCAATGCTCTGTACTACCTCTCCCTCATGCGCAATCAACACCGCCTCGCCACTCGGCTTGTATGCTTCCCAGTCCAACTTGGGCAGTCCGTTAACAGGGTCCTTGGCAAATGCCAAATAGTAATCCTGAACCTGCTCGCTGACCTTGCGCTGGAACTCGGTGCCATTGCCCCTTGCGATGCCGTAGGCGCCAAAATACATTGGAACGTCAGACGAGTGGTATGCGCCTTGCCAGAACTGGGGTGAGATGTTGCTAAAGTTTCCAGCGTAGAGGTAGCGGAATGTGGTGGTGTTTGCTGTGAACCGGTCGTCTGTTGTTTGCGCAGCAGGGCATAGGAAGAATTGACCTGTTACAAAGTCTGCCTGAGCCTTAACGGGCCCATAGGTCTTGTTGTACGTTCCGAATGCGGTGCCCTCGTCAGAAGTCGTGCCAATTATGGCAGGCTTGCGTGAAAACTTTCCAGCCAGAGCGCGCGCAGTAACGTCTGAGAAGAATGCGCGGTTGTCGACTACTGGTGTGAAACTCAGGCTGGGAGATGTGCCGTTGTCGGCATACTGCTTGAGGAAGCCTTCAATGGCTGTATGGGGCACGCGCCGGAAGCAGTCAATCTCGGCTTTGGGGCTGGAATTGCTGCATCCAAACTGCTTGGCGACAAAGGTAAAGTTTGTCTGTTGGACGTCGGCACTTGCAATAGGGAGTAGAGCCGTTCCGGAGTTCATTATAAGACCCGAAACAATAGGGTCTTTAGGGTAGGCGAAGTTGTAGTTGTCGACAGAAGAAGCGCCCGCAGACTGTCCCCAAAGGGTGATGCGAGATGGATCACCACCAAAGTTGCGGATGTTATCCCGGATCCATTCCAAAGCCACGCGTTGGTCCAGTAAGCCAAGGTTCTGTTCGTCGGCCTTGAGGCTCTTCGAGTTGGGAAAGCCAAAGATGTTCAGACGGTAGCTGCATATGGTGAGTACTTTTCCAGAAAAGGAGGGTCATTTGCTTCAACTTACTTGATTCCAACAACAATGTGCTCTCCAGTCCTCTCAACCCATCTTGAAGGAACCTGATACGGAACAGTAGGTCCGCCAGTCACAAAGCCTCCACCATGGATCCAAACAAGCACAGGCAGCAATTCCTTCTTGCGGCCTCCATCCTGACACTGAGCCAAAGGCGCCCAAATATTGAGTTTCAGACATTCTTCAGATTGAAAAAGGCGTGGCGTGATAATAAACTCCGGCGCATCGGTGAGCCAAACATTCGGCCTATCGACCTCGAACTGAGGACAAGAAGGACCCAAGACATTCGCCTCGATGAGTTTGTTCGACCTCTTCACTGAAGTCGGGGGCAACCATCTCCGTGCTCCCACCGGCTGCTCTGCAAAGGGAATACCAAGGTACTGCGCAACATTCGGTGTTATGTCATCAGTGAAACCCTTGACCTTGCCCGATGAAGTCTGGATAACCGCTGGGCTTCCAGCAGCAGCCCAAACAGGAAACTGGGAGAGACCCAAAAGAAATGCCGTCACTCTTGCCATGATGAGCGAAGAAGATGCGCAAGAGATGGATGTATTTCCAGAACCCCAAATCCCCCGCGCTTTTGTACTCCATTTCCCTCCTAAATACCTCGGATATAACAAAATAGCTCTAGTAGCCAATTTCTCCACATAGCGGCGGAAAACGTGTCTGGGGCCCCAACTTTTCCTAGCCGTCTTCTAAGGCCCGGCCGTATTGACATCATCCGAGGTTTACGCGTAGCCTTGTCATTGGGTCGTTGATCAAAAATCGTAATCATAGGTCCACCTTCCTATTGCAACCTAGCCCCCCCCCCCGCAGTCCATGACTTTAGAGTAACGGGAGTACCTGTAAGCGGTCAGTTGCAGGGGATACAGATCTAGGAAAATAAGCTCTTGCGGAAATTATACTTTGGAAATGACATTGTTTGTAACTTAGGAAGGGGGGGTGAACCCTTGTCGTTTTTTTGTATGGAATAATCATCACAACTTGCTCGTCGTCTCGAGGTAAAGGATTTTTTTTTCAAATGGAGGGGCTCTCTCTCCCCCGAATCCCCGGGAAAGCAAGAGAGATCAACGGACTAAATGCCGGTCCCACATCGTACGAATCGGCAGCATTACCGACCAGGTTGAAGCCTTCTTAAAGCGGATTGTGGCAGTTGATGTGAACCAGGTCTATCAAAACACCTCCAGACCAACTTTTTTTAACCCCCTTATCTCACATATCCTTTCAATATCCTACCTACATATATATCCTCAGGGCGAAAGAAGAACCGGTACACATAATACCTTAAAAAAAATGAAAATCCTCATCACAGGCGCCTCCGGCTTCGTCGGCCAAATCCTCGCCCACCACCTCCTCGCCACAAACACAGCCACGCATCTCATCCTCGCGGACCTCCACGAACCCCCTTCACCCAACCCCTCATCCCAAAACATCACTTGCACAGCCGCAGACCTGACTTCCCCCTCCGCCTGCACCTCGCTCATAGCGCAAAACCCCGATGCAGCCTACATCCTACATGGCATAATGTCGAGCGGCAGCGAAGCCAACCTCGATCTAGGCCTCAGTGTAAACTTTGAATCCGTACGCACACTCCTTGACACAATCCGCGCGCAGCGTCCCGGCATCAAGGTAATCTTCACCTCGTCGTGCGCCGTGTACGGGCGCGCAGCCGTAGCAAACGTAGCCACGGAAACAGACATAGTCGCCATGCCCGAGTCGAGCTACGGGACGCAGAAACTCATGATTGAATTCCTGATCAATGATTACTCGCGGCGCGGGCTGATCGACGGGCGCACAGTACGGCTCCCGACTGTGTTTGTGCGGGCGGGGGCGCCGACGGCGGCGGCGTCGTCGTTTGTATCGGGGATTGTGAGGGAGCCCGTCAAGGGTGTTGCAGCAGAGTTACCCGTGGATCCTTCGATAGGGATTTGGCTTACGTCGCCGCGGACGCTGGCGGCGAACTTGGTGCATGCGGTCAAGGTGCCTGCCGAGGCGTTTGGCCATTTCAGACAGGTTTTGTTGCCGGGGTATACGGCGACGAGTGGGGAGATTCTGGAGGCGCTGGAGAAAGTGGCGGGGAGGGAGACGCGGGCGTTGGTTACGGAGAAGAGGGATGAGGCGACGGAGAGGATTGTGTTGAGTTGGCCGGCCAAGTATGATACCTCGAGAGCGAAGGAGTTGGGGTTTAGTGAGGATGTGGGGCTTGAGCAGACGATTAGGGATTTCATTGAGGGAGAGAAGAGCAAGGCTGAGTCATGATGGGATGAGGTAAATACGATGGAAATGTCAAGATGCCTATAGACGATTGAATGAATGTAGATGACGACGTAGCATAGATTTACACTAGATGTACAAAATCCATATCATGGACATTTGTGGAGACTTTCAAGGCGCATCTTCAAGTTGCATAATATATCCACGTAAAATGGTCACAGATACTCTGCTTGTCTTGAATTCGAATCATCATATTGACAACCCGCAAAGCCCTGTGTCAGAATAAAAAAACAGAGCTTAGGCCTTGACCGCATCAATCTTATCCTTGACCGCATCCCCCTTATCCTTGACCACATCATCTTTATCTTTGACCGTATCCTTTTCTTTTTCAGCACCGTCTTTATCCTTCTCAGGTCCATCTGTAGCCTTCTCCGCATCATCTTTATCCTTCTCATCATTGACGGTCTTCTTTTCAGTCTCAATCAAGTCGTAGTCAAAATCAGCCTTGTTGTCCTCAGCATCAAATACCAAAGTCCGTCTTTTGATCTCTCTCGGCAGGGGTGAAGTCGCTGGAATGTCCACACCAATCAAGGCATCCTTGGCCTTCTTGAAATCTTCGGCTCGTTTGTTATCATCAGGTGCGGGTGAGGATACAGGTGTCTTGTTTCCCCATCCCTTTCTCTTCTCACTTGCCCAAGTGCCCCAACTAGAGAAGTAGGCACTGGCCCTCGCTTGTGCGTGTGAGAGATCCGGAGCTTGTGGTGATTTCCCTATAGTCAATCAGTCTGTATGTACTTCTCACGCTCTGGCCAGTACAACTTACACTTCTTTTCTTCCTCGGCTGCTCGTCCCTCCTTCTCGGCCTGAATTCTTGCTTCTTCAGCCCTTTGCTTCTGAGCTTCACGCATGGCTTCCATCTCTGCCCAGAGTCTATTGTAGGCGGAGGAGAACCTTTGCTGCCCTGCAGCGATCTGCTTTCCGAGGATTTCTCTACTCTTTTCGAGTCGTTCATCAAGGTGCATTTCTGCTACCTGCCTAATCGCCACGCGAGAATCAGCACACATACTCCCACTGAGACAGCTTGGAATGTGGGGTTGCTCCAAAGACTAAGAAGGAAGACTTAGTTGGGGTTGCAAGGCGAAAGAAAAGAAGTGGAGACGTACTGTGCTAGTCGGCGCTGAACGTCTTCCATGCTGAGACCACCCGAGCAAGGATGCTTGGGATCGACAATGTCGAAGAGATGTGAGTCTGTGAATTTGTTCCAGATGCGGAAATTCTCCGTCTGCATCCAGGCCTGTACCCAGTCGTTCGAGAACTCGCTGGCCGGGTCGCCCTCAACATCAGTGAGTACGGGCTCTTTATGTGCGTGCTTCTCCATGTACAGTTTGTATTTGACTGAGCTTAGCATCGCAAGGAGGTACTCTTCAAACTGCATGCGGATAAATTCTTCACTGCCAGCATACCCATGGTCCTTGGGCCGCCCTGGGTCCGACTCGTCCCATGTATCGTGAACTGTCTGGGTTAGGAAGTCAATCCATCGCCGGTCTGGTGTCGAGAGGACCGATGCTTGACGAAGCGAAGCCGAAGTGATATTCACCGTATGATCATCGAGGTTGATGAGAATGTCACTGTAGCGATCTTTTTGCTGCAGTAACAATGAATTTGTAGAGCCAACAATGTACGACTTTGTGTGTTGATCTGCCAAAACATCGAGCTGCTGAAGCGGGGTATACGGTCCGAATAGCGAGCCTGTACCAAACAACTGCAGGGGGAGACCCATATATGCAAGCACTGCGATTCGTTAACACGATGGGCTGTCGTCTGGGGTTGGACACTAACAAGAAGCGCGTTCTGACGTTTTCAACGACGTTGGCATGACACATTTCTCCTCGCACGAATTGAACTTGGGGTCAGCAGCATCCTGGAGGTGGCGAATAAGGCCGGGTATCAGAGAAATAAGAGCAAATTGCATCATGCATAATCGCTCGCAATGAGAGCCGAAGAAAAGAACCTGTTGGGTGTTGTGTCAACATTAGTGTGACAGCTGTACGCGCCGTCTCTCCTCGACTGCCAGAATGTAGCGTACCTTTGGTTGGAGTAAAGCGCACTTGAAAAGAACCAGAGTCTGCCATTTGAACTCGTGTATGAACTCGCGCAAAGAGATACCGAAGTAGTGGTCCTGCTGCCCTTCCTGGTTCCTAAGCAGCTGGGGTAGACTTTCTGTGAACCGCTCCAATATCTCAATGTCCCTAAAGTCTCTGTAGTTTGTGTTAGCCGCATGGCCGACCGTCCTTCTTTTGAACAGTATACCTTTGCGCAAACCACAGCTGAGTAACAACACTCAACTGTGCCTTGATTGCGCCAAAATGCTGCGGGCTGTTGCTTATAACCACTACCGCCTTTTGCACCGTACTCCTTGTAACTTCAGCCGGCCGGTCTATGAGCTTGCTAGCATCGAGTTGTCGCGTACATGAGATACCGAAAAGAGAGGTTGCGGGCTCGTTCGGGGTTTGTGCACGGCGGAGGGTGAAGTAGGAGTAGTCTTCGGTGGAGGCATGAGCGCCATCGCTCAGGGCCATGAAGGGCAAGAGGGACCAGTCATTGTCGGCTGCCGGGTCGGTCCCCTCTTCTGCACCAAGCCAGAGTTCGATTTCGGGGCCTCTATCGTTTTTTATCAGCAAATTTGTTATTCCAGTACAGATGGTCCAAAGCCCCCCCTTTGCCCACTCCATGAAATAGTAACTGAGCTTACCGCGCATGATGAAAATCCACCACACATACAAGCGGATTAAGTGTCGCCATGGTTGTGCGCTCGTGGAAATGTCGCACGGCGGTCAGGTTCTCGAAAGTGAAGAATCCAAGGCCATAGGGGCCGGGCTCACGTCCTATGCATAGTTGGGGAACGCGATGCGAGCGGTGACGAACAACACCCGTCCCACCATCAGCCAACCTTATGGAGCTAGGCCTCTTTAGGTCACTAGCCTCGGCGAGCGCCACCTCATCAGCCACCCTGGAGCAAATGCATCACCAAGACGACCAGACTGGAGAGCATTATTAACAACATAATCTCATATTCTTACCTAAGCTAAGGGCATGGCCCAGTCGTGTCATGAAACATTCCTTTCGTGTACAAGCATTGATAATTCAAAAGACAAAAATAACACCCATGTCCATCTACCTCCGCACTTTCATGTCACATGGGTCCGTCCACCAAACGAGACCTTGGGAATCTTTGAGAAAAGCCAAATCCGCCTGCTCCGCGCAGATGATACATCGAACTTTGATAAACTACATGACTCGGTGCTGGGAACTGTAAAAGTATTATGGCTGGATTCGGAACATCCATTGGCGATCAGCTGCCGTTGTTCTCCTCCGGTACTGCCGCATCAACGTTGTGGTAATCGAGGATCTCCGAGTACCTGCAAATAAGTCAGCATCTTGTGTCCCTTGGTCTAGTTGTGAGCCTACATCATGATCTTCCAGGTGTCGACTGGCAAGTCCGCATCATTGAACGACCAATCGAATTTCTCGTCGGCTACCGGCTCATCCGTCGGGTCGTGGTATGGCGCAAGGTATGCGTGAGCGAGAGCCTGCTCTGCTCGTACGCGCTTCCTCGGGTCAAAAACCAGCATGTTTTCTAGAAGATCAACCGCTGTGGAAAGTTAGTCTAGCACTCTGGGCGTCAAGTTTTCAGCACGTACCATCAGGCTCAGCGTTCTTGAACTTGTTGGCCAATGGTTGCCTCTCGCGCTTGGGAAGCGATTGAACGAATCGCAGTGTCTGTACAGTTTTAGCCAAGGCTCCTCGCGATTTCAGTTGCGGGGGGGCGTATTTACGTTTTCACTGCAAATGGTCTGAATAACATCATCTGGGGGAGTGCCCAAAAGCTCCGTGATAATGGAGAATTGGTTCACGTGGTCCTTTCCAGGGAAAAGGGGCTTGCCCTCGAGCATCTCAGCAAAGATGCATCCCGCGCTCCAAATGTCAACCTCCACATCGTACTTTTGCCACGTGAGCATGATTTCAGGTGCTCGGTAGTATCGTGTCGAGACGTAACCCGTCATCTGGGGGTCTTGTATACGGGCGAGACCGAAGTCGCAAATCTTGAGATCGCAGTTCTCGTTGACGAGGATGTTGCTGGGCTTGAGATCGCGGTGCACCACACCAGCGGAGTGGACGTATTTCAATCCACGCTTTCTTGAGTCAGCCAAAATTCCTCCCCTTTGTTTTATTGTGCACGTTGAATCGATTTCTACTACGTACCAAAATCTGATAGAGAAAGTATTGGATAAATTGCTTCTCGAGCGGCCTCGAAGTGAGCAGACGGTGAAGATCGGTGCCGAGGAGCTCAGTGACGAAGTAGCTGAATTGATCAGTATGTGTTCATGGCGGGCCGTAATTGGGCTACGTACATGTCCTCGAGGGGAGAGATGAAGATATCGCTCAAACTGATGATCTAGGTGGGGTCAGAATTTTGCTTGGAGGTTTGGCAGCAGAATTGCCCACATTTTCGTGTCGAAGGTGCTTCAAGAGCTTCAGTTCTCGGTATGTTCGCTTGGACAGAACTGGAGTGCTGAAGGGCTTCATGATCTTCTTAACAGCCACCGCCTGGTTGGTAAGCTGGTCCTTTGCTGAGCTGCGGCAAAAGTCAATACTGAGTTATTCGCGAAGATGGAGGGAATGGTACCAGACGAGACCGAATGCGCCCATGCCGACAGGCTGCAGATCGGTGTATCTGTGGAATGTTAGCAGAGGCAGAGGCAGGAGTTGACGAGGGTGGGGCATTGTTCCGCACCTGCTGGTAATCTCAAAGGTGGTGCCAAAAATCTGGGCGCGTACGAATTCCGCCATGATAGAATGTGGAGTTTATGGCAATGCGATAGGCGCGGGGTGGAGGGCTTTGGATAAAGGGGGGGCTTGGGAGGGTTGTGGTTGGAAAAAAGGCAGGCTGGACGTGGGGAAGTCGCGAATATTTCGGAACTGAGGAGCACGTCGAGGCTGCTAAATACAGACAGGTCTTATTGGAGTCGGTAACTAGACGCGGCAAACAAGGCGATTGCGCGACACTGGCTCCGAGGACTCGTTTGTGAGCACTTTCAGAGTTTGCACCAGGGTAGGGGAGACGGTTGGGAAGGGTAGTAGTGGCCGTGTTTGATTACCGCCTTGAGTGTGTGGACAGGCAAACGGGCGGGCGAGGGCGAGTAGTGGCGGCGGCGGCAGAGTTAGCTTTGTGCAGCACACAGGGATGGAGGATGGCAGTCAGAGCAGTGGCAAGCGTGGAGATGAGCGGCGAGAGAAGAGGAGCAGGAGAGTGAAGGTCTAGGAGGGCGACGAGGGGCAAGGCACCAGACGCGATGAGGGATGCATGGCCCGGGCTCTAGACGTCTCTCACGCAGGTTTCGGCGTGTTCAAGAGTGACGTCACGATGGTCTTTGGGAGTTGTCGATAAAAGCCCGTGCATCACGTCCAGTACAATTTTTCCCTGGGCCCATTGAATGCTCAGTCCACGCGTAATCGGCGGGCGTGCCATGGGAACGCGGCCGACCTGCTTGTCCTGCCCAGGTACCCCACCACGACTGACGTTAACGGCTGTGTGGTGCCCATCCCAGCCTTGTCCCTCTCTCCCCCTCACTTCACGTGGTCTGCCGGCTCGTGCGCGTTCCCGCCTAGGATTCGCTCGCGCCCGACGGGGGATGGGATGGCCACGGAAACATGGAGTGGGAATTTCACTCAGCTCGACATGGAGCCGCTGGAGGTGGCTCTGTGTTGGGTATGCGGTTGCGGCCTGAGAGAGAGAGAGAGAGAGTGGCGATGTGCATGCCTGGGCAGCCGCTGTGCCTCGTTTGCTGACGATACGATGGAGCAGCTGTAGCCGCACATGGCAGCCAAGCCTGGTGTCATTTCGACGTAGTAGTATGCAGGTGTGTACACATGTAGGTACATGCGTGTGTATGTAGTATGTACTTGGATACGTACAACACAGATATACATACACACACACACACATATGAGTCGCATACACAGCAAAGGGGGCCTGACATGGCAATCGCCCTGTATTAGCCGCCACAATCACCATGGCAATCCGATGTCTGCTAAAAGTCGATACACGCCAGACTAGGCCCAGGTCACGCATGCGGTGATGGGCTGGACTGCGCTGGACTGGTGTGGTCTGCTCGGCTTGCTCCGAAGGCGTGTGGACGGCACCCCTGCGGCTATCACGGCAGGTTATAGCCATAGCCGCGGAAGCTGACAGTACCTACACAACGTGGTAGCGGCAGCTGACAGACGTGGTGTTCCCGGGGCGGTTCAGGTGCAAGAGCATAGAGTGTCGCTGTCTGCATGGCCGCCGCCGGCTCCAATCGTGTTTCATCGCCACGCGTCATCATGCACGACATGGCCGCCGCCTTGTCACTGGGTAGCGTGCGACTCTAGACAGACAAAGCAGCGCGCGAGCAGTGAATGCGGCAAGGCTCAGTCTGTATGGTGGATGGGGTGCATGTATGCCATTGTGTTGTGTGTGTGGGCTCTGGCGCCGAAAGCTAGCGTCTCACAAGGCGAGCATAGCAGAGGTCTGGCCAGCAGGCCCCCTTGGAGCCAGGACGAGCCAGGGGGGAGCGAATGAGAAAGCGCGTCCGAAGAGCGTCGCTGTGTCAGTAGGAGCAAGCGGTCCTTAATTTAGACGTCATTTGGCAGTGCAGAGACCAGACTGAATGCCTCGCCTGCCGATCCAGGGCATGGAGACGAACTCTATCGTGCAGGCGCCCAAGGGCATTCCGCTGCCATCCCGCGCGGGTAGGCCGTCGTCGCCTGCTGAGGAGGGGGTGTCTGTGCTGTTTGCAACCAAAGGCTCACTGCTCACTGCTCACTGCTCACTGTACTGCACTCGATGCTGAGTAGGAGGATGAGCAGCGGCTGCAGGGGCGGTAATATGAAAGGGACACAGGACACACTGCTCGACTGCCAACCGCCAAATGCCAACCCGCAATTTGCCAATGACAGCTGGATGCCGCATCTGGCACCCATGAAAGACTGCCGTCGCATAGGGCGTCCAGGACGGAAGAGAGAGTGCCAGACAGCCCGGCCTGCCCTGTCCTGTCCTGTCCTGTCCTGCCCTCGCACCACTCCCTCCCTGCCGTAGTAGCCGTACTGCAAGTAGAGTAGCAGTCGACTGCTAGCATCCGCCCTCTCCCTCTGCCTCTGCCATCTGCGCGCCCGCTTCAGCGCCGTGTTCCACAGCCTTGGCCTGTGCCATTTGACCCTGATCGCTGTCCTGGTATCCCGGATTGAATGAGGCTTAGCAGCACTCGACTCCCATCATCATCATCATCATCATCATCACCACCGCCGCCGCCGCCAGCCCCGGCTCTGCTGCTGCCGCTACCATCAACCATCATCCTCTCTGCCATCGCCCTCCCGTGCTCGATCCACTTCTCTCACCCGACACCGCGCCCATCCCGCAGCCAGCACCGCCTCACCCTCGCCGCCTGCACTTACCGTCTCCAGCCACGAGGCTTGTTGGCCTGTCAGCAGCGGCGTTTGCAGTGCCCGGCGACGTTGCAAGCTTCGCCGACTCCAGATCCCGCGCCTTCCTCGTCAACTTGCTGGGGAAGCCTCCTCCGCACGAGCCAACAGCAGCCCTGGAGTCTCGGATCTAGCTCGACAACACCACCCTACCAACCATTCAACACCACCACCACCGTCGCTACGAACCCCTCCGCCTGCGAGCGCCCACCCAGCAAGGCCCCCGCCCCCATCCAGCTCTCCGACCACCCTGGCGCCCGTCGCCCCTTCCGCTTGCCCACGCTGCGAGGGCCCCCTTTGACCCGAGCTGCGTGTCGGATTCACCCGACGGGAACCATCACCACAGCTCCACCACTCCAACGCGCCCCCCCTGCGCCGCCATCGACTCGACACAATCCATCGCGCCCGCCCCGACACGAAGCAGACGACCTCCTCGCGACGCGCTGGGCCCAGTGCTCACCCATTGTCCCGCGCCCGACGTCCATCATCGCCCGCGGCCGCGAGCCGCACTAGACGACAGCCACCATGGGTATCTGCATGAGCACAAACAACGACGATGTCGAGCAGAAGAAGCGCAGCCAGGCCATCGACCGCAAGCTCGAAGAGGACTCGCGCAGGCTACGGCGAGAATGCAAGATCCTGCTGCTGGGTGAGTGGCCAAAGAAAAAAAACCCGCTGGCCTGCCCTGCTCTATCCCAGCCCTGCTAATCCGCCCCTACAGGTTCCGGAGAGAGTGGCAAGTCGACCATTGTCAAGCAAATGAAGATTATACACCAAAACGGCTACACGCAGGAGGAGCTTGCCATGTACCGCCTGACCATCTACAAGAACGTCATCGACTGTGCAAAGGCTCTTATTGGCGCCATGCGGCAATTCGACATTACCTGCGAGAATTCAGGCAACGCCGAGCTATGCGACTATCTGGCCAACTACACCGTCGACCCGGACCCGGAAAAGCCACTCGACCAAAGAGTAGGCCAGGCCATTACCTCCATGTGGCGCGACCCTTGCATACCAAAGGTGCTGGAGCACTCGAGCGAATTCTACCTGATGGATTCTGCGCCCTAGTACGTTTGCGCATCACGTTTCCATCGACTTGGCTGACACTTGTAGCTTCTTTGACGAGGTGGAACGGATATCAGATCCAAACTACGTGCCCATCGAATCCGACGTTCTACGAGCGCGCACCAAGACAACGGGCATTTATGAAACACGATTCACAATGGGCCAGCTAAGCATCCAGTACGTGCGCGACTTCAAACATGTGTCTGGTGCTCGGACTAACCTGAAACAGTATGTTTGATGTTGGAGGCCAACGGAGCGAACGCAAGAAATGGATACATTGTTTCGAGAACGTCACATCCATTATTTTCTGCGTAGCCTTGAGCGAATACGACCAGGTGTTGCTGGAAGAGAGTTCACAAGTATGTACTCCAAACCACATGTTCGTTGGATCTGTAGTACTGACTCGCGGCCCAGAACCGAATGATGGAGAGTTTAGTGCTTTTTGACTCGGTAGTCAACAGTCGATGGTTTATGCGAACAAGTATCATTCTCTTCCTCAACAAGGTTGACCTGTTCAAGGCCAAGCTTGCACGATCACCACTCGGCAACTATTTCCCAGATTACTCTGGCGGCAACGATGTCAACCGTGCCGCCAAATATCTCTTGTGGAGATTTAATCAGGTAAACCGGGCACACCTGAACCTATATCCTCAGTAAGAATTACGTATCCAGACCCCCCCACTATGCACGCCTAACCAAGCCAGCCTTACGCAAGCCACGGATACATCAAACATCCGACTCGTCTTCGCCGCCGTCAAGGAGACGATACTACAAAATGCGCTCAAAGATTCGGGCATATTGTGATTTGTCGTCCACACAGCAACCACGGTCCTCTGTCGCCCGCTCGGCCTCGGGCCTTATGAGTGCTCTGCCTTCGAAATTTGCGCACACGCGTTCCTCCGTCTACACTTACTACATAATACACGAGCCCGTTTACGATCATTACTCCCGATCGTGCCACTGATGAGGCACACTTGCGGCCACGAATTGGGATTTGGGAGATGTCATTGCCTCTAGCTATTGACACATAGAGAGCGCAGCATTGGTGTTTTTGGCGTTGAAAGATTCCCTGGGCCTGGTCCTTTTGTTTTTTCCAAATCTTGGGGATGCGAAATGGGGCATCACACTACACACACACACACCCACACACACACTTCCGCACACACACGTTATCATCGTCGTCGTCTCTCTCTCTCTCTCTGGGAACTGGGAACTGGACTTTTTTTGTTGTTCTATCTTCTGTGTCTTTTTCTTGACCTTGTTGT